TTTCATATGTAATTATCAACAAAGAAAAAACAAATTTTTTGCATACATAAACATCCTTTATAAAAAAAATCTTGAATAACTTGTAAATTCATACATGCACGTCGATACAAAAATATAAATTGAAAAATTACATATATATACGCGGTATGTGTTATATTTAAGGACTGAAAAAAATAATATATATTTTTGTATATATATACCAAGATTGTAGTCAGGCTTGAAGAGTGATCCAAGGTTATGGTGATCCCAAGTAGGGAGAGAGTAGAGAAGCTCACTCATTTTTTTTGTGTTTTTCTTTTTGAACTTTGAATTATTTGCTGATTGTTTTGTATAACAAAAACTTAAGTGGCTGCCTATTTATCGTGGTGGATTGTGTGTCTAAAGTGAAAGTAATTCAGAATAAATTATTGTTAATAAAAAAAAAAAAAAAAGTTGGAAAAAAAAAATCTAAAGAAAAAAAGTAGGGGAGAAGTTTGGAAGATGAAGACGAAATTGTACTCGACACAGTCAACGGAAAAAGAAGTCAAGCAAAAGAAAAATGTTGGATGGATAGAGTTTTTCCTCCTTGAGATATGCAAATGTAGAAAATATAATTTTCCTAAAATATTTTTGTAATGCACAACTACAACACTAGTACAAAATCATTATGCTACATATCTTGAGCAAATGACTTTAGATTATCTTTTTTTTTTTTTTTTTTTTTCAGTTCACATATTTTCTCAATTATAAAAATTTACAGAACTATATTTTTCATATATTTCTAGGATTTCGCCACTTAAATGACTTTATTAATAACTAACTTTGAAAAACAAACAATTATTCAGGCTGTTAAAACTAAATTAAAATTTGTGTTGGACAAGTATATATGTATCTAACTCGTAAATTAATTAAAAAAATTTTCAATAGACTTATTTCAATGTTAACATCGATGTTCTCATTTGTGGAGAAAAAGGTACAAGTGTTTGAATTTCGTTAGGGTTTGGTTAGATGGGGGACCTTATGTAAGTGTTTGAATTTCGTTGTAATGGCTAAAGCCTTAAAGGTTATGATCACATCATGCTGTTAATTTTTACTGTTCCGCTTTAAGCACATTTAGTAAATAATCTTATAACTTGACTCACTAAAGTAATATACTAGAATAAGAAAAAATCACATGTGAGCAGTATAAACTGTCGGCAATTTTAACTTACTTGATATGATATGGTTGATTACGTGATCAAAATCTTATTACACCAATATATATGAAGTTTTTTGGTTGACAACCCAGGTTTAAAATCTAGTATATATGCATTTATTTACAATATTGTGAAATAAATTTTTTATTTTGAAACTTATCTATATATACATTTTTGAATACAATTATGAAATAAATTCTGGCTTTCACTACTATTTACAATGGAATGCCACTGGATTTAATTCTTAAGATTTGGAAAATTAAATAAAAGATATGAAAAAAAGATTTTGGCTCCAAAGATCTTGCTTAAATATGATGTTTCCTTTTTTTGGTAACGATTTTAAAGCAAGTTTTGTTATATTTCTGTTTGTTTTCTTAATTAGTTAATTTACACTAATTGTATTTGATTAATTTTTTTTTTGGTCGTAACTATGATTCATAATCAACACTAAACTTAGTTTTTTAGTTGGTTTTGATTATAACTATAGTAAGCAACATCTATATATTATTACTTTATTATAATAAAAACATTACAACTATATGTTTTTTAAAGCAAACTTATAAATTGACTCGAATTGTATATGTTTTTAAATAAAAATATTATTAAAAAGAAATATAACAAAATGATGTTTAATTTCATGGGACGGGTTATATGGTGGGACGGGTTTGGGTCGATATTAATACGGGACGGTATACTACGGGTGAAATCCTAGGATTAACAATCAAATACAGTTATATAATCTTAAACACTAAATAAAATAAATAATATTAACAAAAAAATACAACTTAAAATTTAAAAATTATTGTTATAAAAATCGACCCGAAGTATCGCGGGGTAATATATATAATATATACATATGTAAGTATATTTAACCAAACAAAACAATAGGTTATATCTATAGATAATTTTCAAACTTTTGTTTAAAGTATAGCCCCGCGGTGTACCGCGGGTTAAAATCTAGTGTAAGTCATTTGTCGTAATCGTGTGTGCATATGAAGTTGATTTTTTTCTTTCCCTTCTATAAAAGCTTTAGTTAGACATTTTTATTTTTTATTTTATAAAGAGTTATACATGTTTATTGCAAATTTTAGATCATCATTATAGTATAAGATCACTTTTCATAGTTCTTACAAAATGATTAAAAAGGGATATAAGACACGTTCATTTAACTGTTTATGAGTAACAGTACCGGCCCGCTAAATTTGGGTGCCCTAAGCAAAATTAAAATCCATAAAAAAAATTCTTTTAAATTAGATTTTTACCATTAAAAAGAATGTTCTAAAAGTCCACAATATTTTTAAAAGGTCCTACAAAAATTATTGTATATAAGAAAACTTAACAAATTTTTAGATAAAAAAACCCTCAAATTTTGAGGCTCTAATCGGTGGTTTTGGTGGCATGCCCTCTGCGCCGGCCCTGCTGAGTAATGACGATTAGTTTGTTTTTGTTTTTCTAACGTTAGTTCGGTGGTAACATATTATTGGTGATCAAAATTAAACGACAAAGATATTATTTTTTACTGTTATCATGTTGAATGTTTAATGTTTAACTATTCATTGCAAATATCAACATCAGTAAAAGGAACATGCCTCCGGTATATCAAGATTAACAACGTAATTGAATTGTTAAGTCATAAAATTATAACATTCTGAAAAAGTAATGTAAGCAGTTCATTAAACCATTTCCCTCAATTTCAAACGACAGTAATGAGTTATGTAATAATAATATACTAATATCTCCTTCTCTTTTTTTCTTTATTTGAACCAAAAAGTCATGCAGAGAAGAATTTGTTTTTTTTTTTCTCGACATATAGGAGAAATTCTGTTTTATGTTTTGTTTTAAAAGTCTTTGACTCTTGATTCCGTTTTGCTTGTGATTTGGTGAACAACCGTTCTTCTTTTGTATGCTTTTTTGGATTTTTTCTTCATTCTTCACAATGGTGGGGTCGTGTCACGTCCTTTCACGTTTACCTTCTTCCATTATTGCATCACTTTAATTCAATTTGTTTTAATTCATGATTTATGATTTGATTTGACTTGATCTGATTTGATTTGAATTGAGAGGATATGAAATTGTTAGGAATGCTTGCCACTGTTGAAGCAACGTAATCACTATTACTATAGAATAAGTTTGGTCGTTTTCGTGTAGTGAATTATATTAGAATCGTCGTTAGAAATGATTTAGTTTTTGATTGAATATTGTTAGAGGTAGAATACTCAATAGTAATTTTTAAAATGTTATATACCCCTATAATAAACTGCTTTGGAGTTCTTTTCGTTTTATGATTATTTTGTAAGGCAAATCCAATTTTTGATTTGAAAAACAAATTTAACAAAAGAAAAAATGTTATAATAAAACTGCTTTTGTGTAGAACCACGAGACAATTAACTATTTCTAACTATACAAATAGTGATGTGACTATAGTGTGATTGTGTGTATAATCATAATGACAATTTAAAACCTATATTTGTTTTAATATCAGTTTCGAAAAATATACTACTATTCATTTGTAATGTTTCCTCCATTTTTGTCAGTATGTATTTACTTTTATCGATTTATCAGTTTCTAGACATGTTCCCCCGAGTACGAATTTTTTTTAATGGGCCCAAATGTAGGCACGCTTGTGGGGCCCATTTAGAAAAGACGAAAAATATTGCGCCGGTATTATTCGCAGGGACATACATTCTTTAATTGGTCGTCTCTAATAATTAAAATAGGAAAGTATTTTCTCATGTACAAAAAAAGACTAATTTTGTTTGTCCAAAACAAAACAAGAAACTAATTTGGTTCTTTTTGTAGGGTTCTTTATACTTTTTTTTTTCATACTTGACAAAATAAATGGGTTGGCTACTTCCTTATTTTTTTTTCAAGGGTTTGCAATTTTTTTTTTTTTTTATAACTCAGATGATAATATTGAAATCAAAGAAATTATGTTAAAATTCCATCCCGATAGTCAATACTACTCGAATCCTGAAGACATTTTTCTCCTTTTTCACTGGATCAATCCCGATAGTTCTCCTTGTTCACGGTTTTTTTTTAAGTGATAATAATTATTTTTTAATGATAATGAGCTATATATTTTTAGAAAAAAAAACTCACAAAAAGGAAAACTATAAATATCTCAAGGGATTGTAGGTAAATTCCCAAGATTTCTATGGTACATCGATAGGCGAATGTGGAATCCAGGCATAACAAAGTCACGGAGAATAGAAGAATCAGTGCAAGAGAGGATATTGAGTATCATCAATAATATACGACTATGGAGTTTCTTCCATGAGAGGATAGCCAAGAACGAACCTCATCACTTTGGGATTGAATCTGGAGAGGGAAAGAAACAGATTTTATAATCTGTTGGCGAGTAAGGCTTCGGTATCGAAAGCATCGTGGAAATTCACTTCTCCATCGTTCTTTTTAATGATCGGTTATGTATTTATGGATGTGTATTTTGATTTTCTTAGTAATGATGTACTCGTAATGTATCAACTCTTGTACAAGGTTTCCAAATGAATGAATGAATCAGGTGTTAAAAAAAATATATATATATATATCTCAAACCTTTGTTGCATGGTCTGAGATCTAACGGTGGTGTAGTTGGTCCTTTAGCTAAAAGAAGGATATGTTTGCCCAGAATATACATTTTGTGCTCGGTTCGGGAAACCTTGTACAAGAGTTGGTCCTTTTGTCTAGATTTTTTGGCCCAAACTGCTTTAAATAGAAATTTTGGCCCATGTTTCAATATTCCGGAAAACAAAAATAAAATAGGAGGGATTAAGGAAATAAGTAATTATGGAAAATCATAATCTTCCATATTTTCTCCAATTAAAAAATTTATCAATTATTTTCTATAAATCACAAAAATAGGGTTTGCCGTTTCCGTTTACGTTATATGTCGTCTTCTCAATTTCTTCTTCTTCTTCTCTGGTCTCTCTAATTTTTGTTCACACTTTGAAATTTACGACACTTTAAAGAAACTCTGATCGTCGTACGTACGTCTCCTGTTTTTTAGGGTTTCGTGCATCTCAAGCTTCCCTAATCAATGGTACACACTGATCTTGTTTTTGTACATAGTTAGATTCGACCGTTGTTTCATGTCTTTGTTTCTGCTTTTTTTTGCAGTCTGAATCATCGGAGAAGCAGCAGATCCTCACCGAGAAGGAACTCCAACGGAAGAAAAAGAATGAAGACAAGGTTTCCCTTCTTCTTCATCTTCTTCCCCGCCAGAATTTACATGTAGAATCTGATTCATTCCATGAATGTGTTATATATAGGTTCGAGAAAAGGAAATAAAGGAGCAAAAAGCTTTGGAGAAAGCAAAATTAGCTGAAGAACTTAAGGTAAGTAGTGGTTTCTTTATGTGTTTTGACTCTATCATCGAACGTATTTGATCAGATTATTATTGTTAATATAGGCAAAACAAGAACAAGATGGAACCAAATCTTCTAAAAAGAGTACAAAGAAGAGTGCTAAAAGATTTGATTCAGAAGAGAATCCTGAGGATTTTGTTGATCCAGAGACTCCTCTTGGTGAGAAGAAAAAGTTATCTCCACTTATGGCTAAACAATACAGTCCTGACGCTGTTGAAAAATCGTAAGTGTGAAGAATATTGTGACTAATTAATTAACACTGATGTTTGTTCCAATATTTGATAAAATCTGTTTTTTTTTTTTGGTCAGATGGTGTGAATGGTGGGAGCAATCTGGCTTTTTTAAGGCTGATGCTAAGAGTTCCAAACCAGCTTTTGTTATTGTAAGGAACTTTACTTTGAAATTAGCTTGTATAGTCTAGAGAGTTTGTTTAATGTTTTGTTAATTTTCATACTACTGTACATGTTTTGCAGATTCTGCCTCCTCCAAATGTGACTGGAATTTTGCATACTGGGCACGCATTAACATCAGCCATAGAGGTTGTGGTTCATAAGATTCTTAGTTCTGTTACTTTTTGTGAAAAAGGATCAGACTTATAATTTGCTCTGACTGATGCAGGACACGATTATTCGTTGGAAGAGAATGTCTGGTTTTAATGCGTTGTGGGTTCCCGCTACTGACCATGCCGGTATAGCTACACAGGTCTGTAGTTGTTTGTGAAATTTCTTGTTTCAGATTCTTCCTCCTGATAGTTTATGTTGGGATATATGTCAAAACTGGTCATAACTAGTAGTACTAATCTTGTTGAATACAACAATGTAGGTTGTGGTTGAGAAAGAGATCATGGCTAAAAGAGGATTGAGTAGACATGACCTTGGCCGAGAAGAATTCGTTAAGGAAGTGAGTTTAAAACTTCATATGCAGTACTGAGTAATTCTTTCTTTCCTTTTTTTTGTTACAGTAAAGAAGAAGAGTGATGGCTGACGTGGAGAGATGCTGAAGTATGATTGGTGGAAACATTAAGGATGACACGGAGAGCGTTGATTGGCCAATTTCGAATTGAGAAGATGTTGACCGTTGACTAACAGCAAACAAATAAGAACACAATTTCGATTTAGAGTTTACAGAGAATAATTTCCCTTTTGTAATCTCTTTCTCTTAGCTCTGAATTTCTGGAGAATCACCATTGTTGATCGAGATCTCTTCTCTTGTAAAGATCTTTGTCACTCTGGAATTTGGTTTGCGTTTGTCTTGAACGTAAATCCAAGTATATTGAATTCGAATTTGTGTTGATCGATTGATTGAAGTTTATTGTTATCAAAGGTATCAGAGCCATTCGTGACTCGGAAATGATGGCGAATACTCGTGCGAAGGATACGGTAGCTCCGGAGATGGAGGAATCTTCGAACTCGTGGATTGGTAAAGCTTTGGCGGAGCAGAATTCGAAGATTGAGAAGCATACGGTGGAAATGTTTGCGGCGATCAGGATGATAGCGGAGAAGGTAGATTCTATCGTCAATGCTGGTGCGCAATCACCGTATAGTCCAGCTTCGGCGGAGGATGTGAAATCAGGACTGGGAATTTTCAACGTTGACGTACCTCGTCGCGCTAGATCTGGTCCACAATCTCAATACTCAGGTGTGACTAGATTAGCTAAACTGGATTTTCCTAGGTTCAGTGGAGATAGAGTGAAGGATTGGTTATTTAAGGTGGAACAATTCTTTTCGTTGGATCGTACGCCTGATGATTTCAAAGTGAGAATGTGTTCGATTCATTTTGATGGTCCTGCAGCGGCTTGGCATCAGTCGTTGTATGAATCAGATCTGGGAATTGGAGTGATGAATGATTGGCTTGCATATAAGGGATTGTTGTTGGAAAGGTTTCTTGAAGTGTTGGATGATCCGATTGCGGAATTGAAAAACTTACAGGAAACAAACGGGATTAAGGAGTATCATGAGAAATTTGAAGTGATCCGTTTGCGATTGAAGTTACCTGAGGAGTATTTGGTGAGAGCTTATCTTGCAGGTTTAAAAACAGATACGCAAATGCATATTCGCATGTTTCAGCCTGATTCTATTAGCAAGTGTTTGATGCTTGGAAGGTTGTATGAGCAAGCTCATCAGAAAAAAGGATTAGGAGCAGCATCCCATGTTAACCAAAGTTCTAGATGGAGTGGTAGCAATGGTTTTCAAGCAAAGGGAGTGCTGGGATCCAAACCTGATTGGGTACATAAACCTGTACAGCATGATGTTGCCTCTAAATCAAGGGAGATGGGGACACAGCCACGAAAATTTTTATCTACAGAAGAGATGAATAAAAGAAGGTCTCAAGGCCTTTGTTACTTCTGTGATGAAAAATATACACCGGAGCATTATCTTACTCATAAAAGGAAGCAGTTATATATGATGGATGTCGAGGAAGGTGATGATGATACTGTGGATTATCATAGTGCAGATGAAGGAGAGTCTGAGCTCACTCAAGAGCATGCACAGGTGTCTGTTAGTGCAGTTTCTGGTATCTCAGAGTATTGGACTATGAAAGTCAGAGGTGTTGTGGGAAAACAACCATTGATCTTTCTATTGGATTCGGGGTCTACACACAATTTTCTTGATCCCAAGACAGTAGCTAGATTACAACTTCCATTACAACATTCTGGTTTAACAAGAGTAAAGGTGGCTGATGGTCGTCAGTTGGGAGTGACTGGCAAGGTCAAGGATTTTAAATGGACGCTTAAGGAGACCACTTTTGAAGGAGATGTGATGGTTATTCCTCTCGCAGGCTGTGACATGGTATTAGGGGTGCAGTGGTTAGCTTCTTTGGGCCCTATTAATTTGGACTTTCAGAAACTGGAGATGAGTTTTAAATGAGGTTTAAAAACAGTTTTACTACATGGGCTGAAGCAGGGTTCAATAAGAGAAGTGAAGGCAAATAAACTCAAGAAGCTGAAGGAGAGTGAAGTGCAGATTTCTATGTTGTGTGTGCAAAATATACCGGAGGAGAATGATATGATGCTCTGTTCTTTGGAAACTCACAGTGGAGAAGAAGAGGAAAATCCAAAGATCACACAACTAGTGAATGAGTATGCTGATATTTTTGAGGAACCAAAGGCTTTACCCCCATTCAGAGCTAACCACAACCATAAAATCCCTTTATTGGAAGGATCAAACCCGATTAACCAGCGTCCCTACAGGTATGCATTACATCAGAAAACTGAGATTGATAAGATGGTTCAGGAATTACTTAAGGCTGGTACTATACAAGCTAGTAGTAGTCCTTATGCATCTCCTGTAGTATTAGTCAAGAAGAAGGATGGTAGTTGGCGTTTATGTGTGGACTATAGAGGGTTGAATGGGATGACTGTTAAAGATCGATTTCCTATTCCCTTAATAGATGATTTGATGGATGAGTTGGGAGGTTCTGTGATCTATTCTAAGATTGATTTGAGAGCTGGATATCATCAAGTTAGAATGGAGCCTGCAGACATGTATAAAACTGCCTTTAAAACTCATAGTGGGCATTATGAATATTTGGTGATGCCTTTTGGGCTAACTAACGCGCCAGCTACGTTCCAAAGTTTGATGAATACTGTGTTTCAGGAGTTTTTGAGGAAGTTTGTCTTAATATTCTTCGATGACATTCTCATTTACAGTCCTACTCTGGAATCTCATTTGTTGCATTTAAGAGAGGTGTTCAAGTTGATGAGGAGTAACAGTCTCTATGCAAAGAAGAGTAAGTGTGCTTTTGCTGTGGCCAAGGTAGAGTATTTGGGGCACTTCATTGAAGCTAGTGGAGTCTCTACAGATCCACAGAAAATATTGGCAGTCAAAGCTTGGCCCATACCTAAGACTTTAAAACAGCTGAGAGGTTTTTTGGGACTAGCTGGGTATTACAGGAAATTTGTGAAGGGTTTTGGTGTAATTGCTAGACCACTACATGACATGACGAAGAAGGAGTCTTTTGTTTGGTCTGAGGAAGCATTGCAAGCTTTCAATACACTGAAATCTGTTTTGTGTGAAGCACCGGAATTAGCTCTACCACGATTTGATAAACCTTTTGTGGTGGAGACTGATGCTTGTGGAGAGGGAATTGGTGCTGTATTGATGCAAGAAGGTCACCCTTTGGCCTATATTAGCAGACACTTGAGGGGAAAACAATTGCATCTTTCTATATATGAAAAGGAGTTGCTTGCGGTAGTGTTTGCGGTTCAGAAATGGCGCCACTATCTGTTACCAAATCATTTTGTTATAAAAACAGATCAGCGGAGCCTTAAATATTTGTTGGAGCAGCGCCTGAACACACCAATTCAACAACAATGGTTGCCCAAGCTTTTAGAATTTGACTATGAAATTCAGTATAAACAGGGTAAAGACAATGTGGCTGCGGATGCTTTATCACGGGTGGAGGGTGCTGAAGTGTTACATATGGCAATGTCTGTTTTAGACTGTGATCTTATGCAACGTATTCAAGCAGGTTATGCTACAGATCTTGCTCTTAAGACATTAATTGATCAGTTGAGGCAGGATTCTAATGCTAAGAAGAACTTTTCTTGGGTTCAAGGAGTATTGAGGAGAAAGAGTAAGATTGTGGTGCCTCAAGATAAGGATCTTCAGAATGATATTCTTAAGTGGCTGCATTGTTCAGGAAGTGGAGGCCATTCTGGTCGTGATGCGACTTGTCAGAGAGTTAAGGGTTTGTTCTACTGGAAAGGGTTGGCTAAAGATGTTCATACTTATATCAGGAGTTGTGGAGTTTGTCAAAGGTGTAAGTATGAGACTATAGCTTCTCCTGGATTGTTACAGCCTCTACCTATTCCAGCAACACTGTGGACTGATCTTTCCATGGATTTTATCGATAGATTACCTCCTTCCTTTGGTAAAACAGTTATCTTTGTTGTGGTGGATCGCTTGAGCAAAGCTGCTCATTTTATGGCTCTCACTCATCCTTATTCAGCTGTAAGTGTGGCTCAAGTCTTCATGGATCAGGTGTTTAAGCTACATGGTTTCCCCAGGACCATTGTGAGTGATAGGGATACAGTTTTCCTTAGTGAATTCTGGCAGGAGTTGTTTTCTCTGCAGGGCGTTTCTTTAAACTACACTAGTGCTTATCATCCTCAATCTGATGGCCAGACAGAGGTGGTCAATAGGTGTTTGGAGACCTATTTGAGATGCATGTGTAGTGATCGTCCACATTTATGGAGCAAATGGTTACCTCTTGCGGAGTTTTGGTACAATACTAATTACCATACAGCTATTCAGATGTCGCCTTATGAGGCAGTGTATGGTCAGCCTCCGCCAGTTCATTTACCTTACTTGCCTGGTGAATCGAAAGTGGCTGTGGTGGCTCAATGCTTGCAGGATAGGGAGAATATGCTTCTACTTCTCCGGTTCCACTTATTGAGAGCTCAGCACAGGATGACTCAGAATGCCAATCTTCATCGTACTGAGAGAAGTTTTGAGATTGGAGATGTGGTGTTTGTCAAGTTGCAGCCTTATAGGCAACAATCTGTGGTGATGCGATCTAACCAGAAGCTTGCTCCCAAGTTTTATGGTCCTTACAAGATTTTGGATAAGTGTGGGTCAGTAGCTTACAGGTTGGACTTACCATCTTCTTCTAAGATCCATCCTGTTTTCCATGTGTCTCAATTGAAGGAATCTGTCGGCCCTGTCTCGGTTTCTACTGAATTACCATCGGTGCATTATGATGCGTTGGTCAAGGAACCCGAGAGGATCTTGGAGAGGAAGATGGTCAATAGACAGGGGCACGCAGTTACGATGGTGCTTGTTAAGTGGACTAATCAGAGTGTCGAGGAAGCGACTTGGGAGTACTTGTTTGAGATACAGAGGAAGTTCCCAGCTTTTGAACCTTGAGGACAAGGTTCTCTGAAGGAGGGAGATTTGTTACAGTAAAGAAGAAGAGTGATGGCTGACGTGGAGAGATGCTGAAGTATGATTGGTGGAAACATTAAGGATGACACGGAGAGCGTTGATTGGCCAATTTTGAATTGAGAAGATGTTGACCGTTGACTAACAGCAAACAAATAAGAACACAATTTCGATTTAGAGTTTACAGAGAATAATTTCCCTTTTGTAATCTCTTTCTCTTAGCTCTGAATTTCTGGAGAATCACCATTGTTGATCGAGATCTCTTCTCTTGTAAAGATCTTTGTCACTCTGGAATTTGGTTTGCGTTTGTCTTGAACGTAAATCCAAGTATATTGAATTCGAATTTTGTTGATCGATTGATTGAAGTTTATTGTTATAATTTTTATAAAAGAACTTATAATGAAATCTCTTGTGCTTGTTCTATGATTACGCGATAGGTATGGACGTGGAAGAACCAGTCTGGTGATACAATCATGACACAACTACGGCGTTTAGGTGCTTCTCTTGATTGGTCTCGTGAGGTAAAATTCAGTGATCCTCTGTATCTTCACCTGTTTTTCTGAGATATCTTATATACAGAATTGTTTTCTATATGTGAACTTGTAGTGTTTTACAATGGATGAGCAAAGATCAAAAGCTGTCACTGAGGCTTTTGTTCGGTTATACAAGGAAGGGCTTATCTATAGGTATATGTTTTGAAATCTCTAATAAGCTACACGAATCTTGTTGTAGAGAAAAGCACTAACCTGAAAGACAATACTGTTTACCTTTGCAGAGATAATAGGATTGTTAATTGGGATTGTAGTTTAAGATCAGCCATATCTAAAGATGAGGTAAGTAAACAACTTTGGTTTGCTCTATGATTTTTGAATTACATGCTTCTTCTTATGGCTGTGCATCTGTAGGTTACTCCTATTGAGATCAAAGGAAGGACACTGTTAGAAGTACCTGGATATGAGAAGCTAGTGGAATTTGGTTTTCTTACTTCATTTGCTTACCTTCTCGAGGATGGTTCGGGAGAGGTTGTTGTAGCCACCACGAGAGTGGAAACAATGCTTGGTGATACTGCCATTGCTGTACAAGCATCTTCACGGAAAGTTTGTGGTGCATCCGTTTATTAGTGGACGGAAGTTACCAGTTATCTGCGATGAAGATCTCGTTGATCAAAACTATGGTACTGCTTGTGTTAAGGTATGAGCTCGTTTTTTCATATGTCCTTGAGTTGTTTTAGTACTGTTTCAAAATTACTTTGCTCTTCTCTTGTAGATTACTCCTGCTCATGCATGATCTTGATGATTTCGATGTCGGAAAGCGCCACAATCTTGAATTTATAAACATATTCACTGATGATGGAAAGATCAATACAAATGGCGGGCCTGAGTTCGCGGGAATGCCACGCTTTACGGCCCGTGAAGCGGTTGTTGAAGCTCTGAAGAAGAAGGTAATCAGTTCTTGTGTCTTTGTATATCATTAACATATCATACTAACTTGCAATTGTCTTATATTCAGGGATTGTACAGAGGTGCCGAAAACAACGCAATGGAACTTAAACGTTGTTCAAGAACTAAAGATGTTATTGAGCCTATGATAAAGCCTCAGTGGTACGTGAATTGTCATGTGATGGGAAAGGAAGCTCTTGATGTTGCTATCAATGATGAAAACAAGAAGCTAGAGTTTATACAAAAGCAGTACACAGCAGAATGGAGAAGGTTCTGTCATTAATTATGATGAATAAGTTTTGTCTGTTTATAACTAATCATGGATTAACATTCACAAGGGATCTTAATTACAGATGGCTAGAGAAGATACATGACTGGTGCATTTCGAGACAGCTTTGGTGGGGACATAGAATACCAGCATGGTATGCAACTCTAGAAGAAGATCAAATTAAAGATTTTGGTTCTTACAATGACCATTGGATCGTTGCTAGAAACGAGAAAGAAGCTCAAAAAGAAGTTGAACATAGATTTGTCGGGAAGAAATGCGAGCTCTCTCAAGATCCTGATGTGCTTGACACATGGTTTTCTTCAGGGCTCTCTTCGTTATCGAATTTGGGATGGCCAGATGAAACTGATGAGTTAAAAGCTTTCTATCCAACTTCTGTTCTTGAAACTGGTCATGGCATTCTCTTCTTTTGGGTTGCTCGCATGGTTATGCTATGTATGCAACTTTCTGGTGATGTTCCCTTTAGCAAGGTTTATATGCATCCTATGGTATGTGATGCACATGGACGAAAGGTGTCAAAGTCTCTTGGAAATGGCATTGATCCGCTTGAAGTCATTAAAGGTGAAACTATTGCGGGTCTTCATAGGAGGTTAGAGACCAGTATCTTAGATCCAAAGAAGCTTGTTGCTGCTAAAGAAGGACATGCCAAGGATTTTCCAAATGGTATCCCTGAATGTGGTTCCGATGCTCTTCGATTTGCACTTGTATCCTACACAGCTCAGGTACTGATTACATCACATGGACTCTTTGCTCTTTCATTTGTATAAAATGATCTTATAGACTTGTTTTTGTTTCTTTTTCTAGTCTGATAGAATAAATATGGATATCCTCCGAGTGATTGGTTACCGTGAATGGTGTAATAAGCTCTGGAATGCGGTGAGATTTGCGATGCTGAAGCTTGGTGATGGTTATACACCTTTGCTAACTCTATGTCCTGAAACCATGCCATTGAGCTGCCAATGGATTCTTTCGTCACTAAATAAGGTGATATCAAAGACGGTTGATTCGTTGAATGCTTACGAGTTTTCGAATGCAGCCAACGCGGTATACGCTTGGTGGCAATACCAACTTTGTGATGTATACATTGAAGCAATCAAGCCTTATTTTAACAAACCAGAATATTCTTTAGAGAGGACTCATGCACAACATGCTCTATGGGTTTGTCTAGAGACTGGTTTGAGATTGCTTCACCCGTTTCTGCCTTTTGTAACCGAAGAGCTTTGGCAACGATTACCTTGGCCTAAAGATTGTGAACGGAAAGCGTCTATCATGATATGTGACTACCCATCTCCCATTGAGGTCTCTCTCTAATTCTAAAATCTTCTTCTGAATCTATTATCCTTTTTTGCGGTTTCTAAAAACTCTTTAATCACAGAACTGGAGAAACGAAAAGGCGGAAACCGAAATGGACATGATTCTGATGACTGTGAAATATCTCAGAGCAAAGAGAGCAGAGTTGTTAGAGAAACAGAGAAAAGAAAGGTCAGTGACTGACTAATTTTCGAGGATACCGCCAATTTTCTTCGGTTTTCTTACATTATTACCTTCAATATCTTCTCAGGTTGCATGCATTTGCTCTGTGTGAAAACGAGTTAATGTTAAAGATTGTACAGACCCATGAGTTAGAGATCACAACCCTTGCAAATCTCTCATCCTTAGAGGTAACTTGATCTTCATATTCATTTTATGTTTCTTTTTTTGTCTTTTGTTTTATTTTTCTCAAAGTTATGTGCACAACTATTATAGGTTGAACTAAAAGGAGGAGAAGAACAAGCAGCCTTATTAGCTAGAACAGCCTTTGAAACGATTAACGAGAACCTCAAGGTTTATATCAAAGTGGATGAAGCCATTGATGCAGAAGCTGAAAGTGAAAAGATCAGAAACAAGATTGAGGAGCTGCAGAAGTAAGTTTTCAACACATAAGAACAGAGTTCAATCCTCTGTCTTGTTCAGACAGTACTAATCTGTTGTTTCGTTTTCGATCAGACAAAAGGAGAAGATGGAGAAGATTATGGGCGCTAGTGAGTACGAAGAGAAAGTACCTGCCAACATTAAGGAAGACAACACCACGAAGCTCGCCAAACTTCTTCAAGAATTCGACTTTTTCAACAATATTTATTCAAAGACCCTTATTAGAATGTCCCACATTGCTTGGGATTAAGATCTTTGGGTAGTATATAAAGGATGTGGCAATCCTTAACTCTTGAGCTAGCTTTTGGGTTAAGTTAGGCCACATTCCTAATATGGTATCAGAGCCAAAGGTTGGCCCACCCACAAAAATAGTTTCCCACCTATGGTTTCCCACCTATGTGGCCCATATAAGTGGCATGTCTTATTGTATTTCTGAGATGTTGGGCTTGGGCTATTTTCCGTTGGACCGTTTCTCACCCACATCTCGAGGAGGCCTATTAGAATGTCCCACATTGCTTGGGATTAAGATCTTTGGGTGGTATATAAAGGATGTGGCAATCCTTAACTCTTGAGCTAGCTTTTGGGTTAAGTTAGGCCACATTCCTAATAACCCTTCAAAGGTGAAACACACAAAAGAAAATGTAAGAAAATGTGTGATGCAGCCTAGGATATATTAGGATTAAGCTAAAGATCCATTCTTTATTATTTTTGTTGTAATTAAATTATATCTTATTTTATATTTGTGATTTACGAAAAAAAATTACATTTTCATATACCCTTAAAATATATAATTTATTTCATTGAACTACATTATAAATCACCACTCATCATCATTATCAAATCACATAACTTATTATAAAAAAAAAAAACCAAAAATAATCCAAGCAGCATGAAAGAAAAAGGTCCAAATGAAGCATTAACTTGGGTCCAGGGATAAAACATATAATATTGATTATTAAATATTATCATCAGCAAATACATGCACCATTACTCGACCAAGCACCGGACCAAACACTACTTGGTGATCGTGTTCTTGTTTGTCTTCTTAGTCTCCACAAACTTCTTCCAGTAAGACGTGACTTCTCTTTGTGTCTCCTCTGGCGTTTTCTTAACGCCATTATTTGTTCCCTGAATCCTGGCCGGAAGCATATCGAGCTCGTGAAGAACCTTGTCGAAGTCGGAGACAAGTCTCTCGGCTAAGTTTCGAGAGAAATCATCTCGGATCACAACTCGGAGGACCGTGACGTGTTCCGCATCCGCGGGCATCTTGTAGGCCGGAATAATCCAGCCAAATCGGCGGAGCATATCGGCCACCTCGAACTCGTTGTGGAGGCTACTGTCTTTGAGAGAAAACGCCACTAACGGAACACCGTTTTCTTTGGAGATGATGTTAAAACGTCCCGTTTTCTCTAATCCTTGTTTTAGCACCATCATGTTCTCATGGCAGGTATCCATCACGTTGCGATAACCCTAAACCAAACAAAACGATTATTAATTATTCCACTAATTACCAAAACTAGTTAGTTTAGGAACGTTTAATCTAAATTTCTATATGATTTGAGTTTTCTCTTTGTTATTTTTGAAATAAATAATACTCTATTAAAACCATATTTTTCTAACTTTCCTAGTCATAAACATAAAGTATAGTAGCAACTTGATAATAGTACGTAATGTTGGATTTAGTACGTTCTAGTTTCTTTATTGACATTTGATTTTCAAACAAATTAAAATATATTGCTATTTTTGTCATTTTGAGTTATCATTTACCTCGAATCCAAGACGTATCAGCTGGTAGTATTGAGCAATCACTTGACTTGAACCTGGTTTATACAAGCATTATGAAATCTTAATTTAATCTATAAAACAATTCGAGACAATAAATATATCGAAAATTGTATATAAGTTATGGTAATGTACCTTTGGAGAAGTTGAGTGTGAAGGTGGGTTGATCAGCGCCAAGATAATTGATATGGAAGATAAGTTCATCAGGCAAATCGGTTTTGGTTCTCCATACGACCCAACCAATACCGGCATAAACCAAACCGTATTTGTGACCACTCACATTTATGCTTTTAACCAACGGTAACCGGAAATCCCACTCCAACTCCGGATACAAGAACGGAGCAATAAACCCACCACTCGCTGCGTCCACGTGAATCGGCGTATCCCATCTACAAATACGTTAAACCGGACCCAAACCGGTTTAAATTTATTATAAGTTTTTGTTGTTTATCGGTTTGATATTAGAATGCTTGAATATCTCACTTTAGAAATTGTAATATTTCTAAGCAAATATATAAGATTAATGGTCTTCTTCGTTAATTGGTTTTGAGTTGAAAATGACTCAATTACCCGGTTTTCTTGTTCTTCTCGACTAGGAGGTCATTGAGGAGCTTAACGTCTTCGAATTCTCCCGTTAGCGTCGAACCGAGGATGGCCACGACGCAGATAGTGTTTTCATCTACCATTTCGACCGCCTTTTCAGGGTCCATCACGTAATATCCTTCTCTCAACTTCACTTCCTTAAGCTCCACTTCGAAATACCTTGCGAATTTCTCCAAGCAAACCTGTATTGAACCGGAAATTGAGTCAAAAATAGACCTAAACCGGTTTAATATTTCATTAATTTTTGTTTGGTTTACCTGAATATTGGCTCCGGTTACAATATTAGGCTTATCATAAGGAAGCCCTTGGGCCTTACGCTTGTTTTGCCACTGTCTCTTAAAGGCCAGTCCGGCCAACATCACCGCCTCCGATGAACCCACCGTGCCAACACCAATGGCGGCTTCACCGTCACCTAGAGGTGCGTTGAAGAGACGCGCAATCATGTTAACGCATCGGTTCTGAAGGTCGGTGGTAACAGGGTACTGGTCCATCTCAACGTTATTCTTGTTGATGGATTCCATCATGAGCTTGTCACACTCTGGCTCCATCCAAGTGGTCACAAAGGAGGCCAGGTTTAGCCTCGGGTTTCCATCGAACTTGAGCTCGTCGTTGATGATTTGGTATGCTGCTTCCTTAGGGATCGAGTTCTTAGGCATTTCGAATCTAATGAAACAATTGATACATTTAATTTAAGATAAAAATTTTTTAAAAAAAACTCTTATAGTAACACACATAATGCTCGGATCTTTCAGTAGTGCAAGTGGTAATGTGAAGGTTAATTTCATTAGAATCTAGTTTACTTTCTTGTGTACCCAAAAATTGTGAAATCTTAACCTTTTATATTAAAAATAAATATTTCCCGTATAATTTAAAACCGTTTAAATTACATTATAGTATAAAGTCAAGATGCTCGATCACCATGTAGCGTTGTCTAGGCTACGTTTTAGAACACTAGTTACTAGCGAAAACATCAGGAAAAACAATATGTGTTTAAACTCTTTACCGTGGAATAGAGTTGCGGACATAACGAGAAGCAAAATTTGAATGGATTGAATCATCGGATTTCAAAGCTGTCTTAGACAAAACCATCTTCTTGAAGTGAGTGAAAGAAAAGTAGAGGGAGAAATGTGCAATGTTATGTTGTTGTTTGTAGTTGAAGAATATATGAAATTATAAGAGGAAGAGCAAATGGTATATATAGTGACGAGAATGTTCTCTTCGTTTCGTTTGCAACTTGAAAGGAAGCATCGCTGGTTTAAGGGTTCCTTTTCTAACTTTTTATCACCAATGATTTTTCATTACTAAAATAGTAAGACCAGTAATTAAATTATATATAGGCTACTTTTAAAAAATAAAACTCTTAAACTGAATCATATCATATCATCATATATAGAATACTAAAATGAAATCTCTCCAACTTAAGTTGCACATTATCAGTTTATAGAAACAAATATAGAAATTCGTTTTCATATTAAATTCTAAAATTCTTTCTTTTCTTTTGGCATCGCATTAACTTATTATTTTTATTTTATTTTACTTTAAAAATATCTCCTCGTCTCATCAGTATCACACATATCATATTTCTTTTGGTTGTCAAAATAGAAAATCAAAGAACAGAATATAAAAAATATATATATAAAAAAGAGGAAAAAAAATTATGTTGTGTGTTGCAAATCATATTGGTTAATCCACTTCATATTAGTTTGTCTCACTTCTTGTTTTGCTTTGTGACGTAAAAATTGTCTCATTGATTTTGGGTTTACACTATATCGGCCTCTTGTTTGTATATGTTAGGTCCCTATATCCTATCGAGATAGTTATGGTTTATATAATAGAGAAAAATTCATCAGAAGCAGTTGATAAAGTTATAAGACTCATATATAGATCGATTTAGACGATTAATAAAATATGTGACAAATAAAATAAAAACAATGGTCAAATAATTAGCGGAAGCGAGTGATACTTGAAACTGCCAAATTAATTAAAGTGGGTATGTTGACAAAACAAATAAAATTAAAGTGTCTATGAGAATCACCCAACTAATCAAGAAATGTTTACCCCTTAAAACACGAGTTTAGTGCTTCTTTTCTGTGTAAATTAATAGTAATATAGTATTTTCTAAAAAATTTAAAATTAATCTTGAATTTAGAATCTGCCTAAACGCCCGAATTATTTAGACCCGCTTAAACTACTGTATAATATAAAATCAAAATGTCAAATCACCGTGTAGCGTCGTCGTCTACGATGCGTTTTAGAAATACTAGTTACTAATAATAAACGCATCATACAAAATTATGGGCTACTTGTAACAATTGACACTTTAAAAACGAATCATATTATATCATATACTATAGAATACTAAAATGCAAGCTCTCCAACTAAAGTGACACATTATCAGTTTATTAAAAACAAAATAATTACTCACTCCGTTTCGTTTTAGTTGTCGTTTAAGGTTTTTTCACACAAATTAAGAAAAGCATTAAATTTTTTGTTTTACCCTTTTTTAATATATTTTATAAAAAATTTCATTGGTCAAAACATTAAAACAATAGGGATAATACTGGAATTTTTACCAAACATTTACATTGAAAACCTAAAACGACAACTATTAAGAAACAAAATTTAAGTCCTAAAACGACAACTAAAACGAAACGGAGGGAGTAATATATAAATTCGATTTCATATTAAATTTCTAAATTTGTTTGCAAAACGAATAAGAAATACTAATTAGGACTAAATTTATTGCTATAGACTGATATGTCTAAAAATGGCTCTAACATCTTTCTGAAATAATACTGCATATAGAGGGCCACCTTATCACCTTTTAGAAAAATATTTGACTCTTAAACTACAAATAAACTGCAAATAATTAAAGTATATATAATTGGTGGTGACAGCGTGAAAGAAAAAACAAAAGAGATCTTATTTTTTCAGTAAAAACCAATGCGAAATATTACCATGCCTTAGCATATGTTTCCAATAAATAAAAATACACTTAATTTTAATAGAGAAAGATGTTATAAAAAGCTTCAATTATACGTTTTCGTTGAAAAAATATTCCAACTTTGCAATATATAAATATTGACAAAGTTAATTATGATTTTTTTGCAACATATAAATATTGAATTAAACTCGTGAATCTATAAAATTGTTTAGGTAATGGTTAAGCCAATTATGTGTCATTGTTTGTTCTTTTACACAGAAAAATGTTTTTGTAGGAGAAGAAAACACGTTATTACATACCCATAAAAATAATAAAATTTTATTTCATTTATTTAGTATAAACCCATAAAAAATCACTCTTCATCAGCAATATCAAATCACAAAACTTCAAAAAATAAAAAATAATAATCCAAACAGCATGAAAGAAAAAGGTCCAAATGGAGCATAATGAAGGACAAAACAAATAACAATAATAGTTTATTAAATAATCTTATCAGCAAATTGTGTTCTTGTTGGTCTTCTTAGTCTCCAACAACTTCTTCCAGTAGGCCGTGACTTCTCTCTGCGTCTCCTCTGGCGTCTTCTTAACGCCATTAACTTTTCCATTAGCCATCTTGGCGTGAATCCTCGCGGGAAGCGTATCGAGCTCATGTAGAACCTTCTCGAAATCGGCTACCAATCTCTCGGCTAAGGTTCTAGAGAAATCTTCTCGGATAACAACTCGTAGGACAGTGACATGTTGCGCATCCGCGGGCATCGTGTAGGCCGGAACGATCCAGCCAAAGCGGCGGAGCGTTTCGGCTACCTCGAACTCGTTGTGGCGGCTACTATCTTTGAGAGAAAACGCCACTAATGGAACACCATTTTCTTTAGAGACAATGTTAAAACGTCCCGTTTTCTCTAATCCTTGTCTTAGCACCATCATGTTTTCCCGACAATTATCCATCACATTGCGATATCCCTAAATAAAACAAGAAAAACATTATTAATTCCACAATACCAAAACTAGTCAATTTAGGAACGTTTAATTAAAATTACATTTTCATTTCTTTATAAAATTATTCGGTTTTTGAACTTTCGTAGTTATAAAGTATAGTAAAAACTTGAATATAGAACGTTCTAGTTCTTTGGATTTCAACAAAAGTTAATATATTGCTATTTTGGTCATTTTTAGTAATTATTTACCTCGAATCCAAGACGAATCAGCTGGTAGTACTGAGCAATCACTTGACTTGAACCTATTTTATTACAAGCATGATCAAATCTTTAATCTATAAAACAATTCGAGACCATAAATATATCGAAAATTACATATAAGTTATGGAAATGTACCTTTGGAGAAGTTAAGTGTGAAGGTGGGTTGATCAGCGCCAAGATAATTGATATGGAAAATAAGTTCATCAGGCAAATCGGTTTTGGTTCTCCATACAACCCAACCGATACCGGCATATACCAAACCGTATTTGTGACCACTCACATTAATACTCTTAACCAACGGTAGCCGGAAATCCCACTCCAGCTCCGGGTACAAGAAGGGAGCAATAAACCCACCACTTGCTGCGTCAACGTGGATCGGCGTGTCCCATCTGCAAATTGCGTTTTCAAAAAACGTTAAACCGGATTTGAATCGGTTGAAATCGATAATTAGCTTGATTATCGGTTTGGTTTACTTACCCGGTTTGCTTATTTTTCTCGACAAGGAGGTCGTTGAGGAGCTTAACATCTTCGAATTCACCGGTTAGTGTTGAACCGAGGATGGCCGCGACGCAGATTGTGTTCTCATCGACCATTTCGACTGCCTTTTCAGGGTCCATCACGTAATAATCTTCTCTTAGATTCACTTCCTTAAGCTCCACTTCGAAATACCTTGCGAATTTCTCCCAGCAAACCTGTATTGAACCGGAAATTGAGTCAAACATAGAACTAAACCGAAATCACTAATTTTACGGTTTAATATTTCATAGTTGTTTGTTTTGTTTTAAAGTTAAGTATTTATTGGTTTATTGATTAAACTTTTTGGTCTACTGTTTTTGTTTATCTATCTATAAATTAAAACAAATTCGTAAACCGGATTGATATTTTCAATTTTGCTTTGGTTTACCTGGACATTGGCTCCGGTTACGATATTGGGCTTATCATAAGGAAGCCCTTGGGCCTTACGCTTATTCTGCCACTGTCTCTTGAAAGCCAAACCCGCCAACATAATCGCCTCCGACGATCCAACGGTGCCAACACCCACGGCAGCTTCACCATCACCAAGCGGCGCGTTGAAGAGACGCGCGATCATGTTGACACATCGGTTCTGAAGCTCAGTGGTGACGGGGTACTCGTCCATGTCGACGTAGTTCTTGTTGATGGACTCCATCATGAGCTTGTCACACTCTGGCTCCATCCATGTGGTCACAAAGGAGGCTAGGTTCAGCCTCGGGTTACCATCGAGCATTAGCTCGTCGTTGATGATTTGGTACGCTGCTTCCTTTGGGATTGAATTCTCAGGCATTTCGAATCTAATGATGAAATGATAATACATTAAGTTAATATAACGAAAAATGTCTTTATAGTATATGACACATAATAAATCTACAACATTAACCAAACCCAAAAATAACTATCCAAGATAAATGTTACTATTGTTAATGAAAACATTAGACAGAAATGTTACCGTGGAAGAGAGTTCCGGACGTAACGAGAAGCAAAAGTTGAATGGATTGAGACATCGGATTCCGAAGCTGTCTTAGACAAAACCATCTTTTTTTTTGAACTTTGATTTTTGGTTTTGAAATGAACAAGAAGACAGAATGTGTAATGTTTTTTGTTTTGTAGTTGAAGAAGAATGAATGTGTGGAATTAGAAGAAGAAGAGCAAATGGTATATATAGTGGAGAGAATATGTGTCTCTTCGTTTCGTGTTTGCAACGTGAAAGGGAAGCATCGCTGGTCTTTGTTTATGTGCTCCTTTTTCTAACTTTTCCTTGCCCATGACTTTTCTTTATTAGTAGTATAATATTATTAAGAGTTTAAGACCAATGAATTAATAATTTTTAAAACGAGTACTTTTACAAAACAATTACTGTATACTAGTATCGTTTACAAATTCCGACTACCATCTTTTTATTGAAAATTTATAAGTAATATATTGAAAAGTTGAATTGTAATGAATATCATTTTGATTTTGTTTATTTAGCATCTCCCGTGATTTGATCAATTTCACACTTATGTGAATAGTACCAACGCGTAAAATGTGAATAGATAGATACTAGATTATATTGTTTTCGTGATTCTTTTTTGCTGTCAATGTAATTTAGACCGTAAATAAGCTAGAAACCAAATTCGAACATATATGGGTATCAACGCTAAAGAACATTTGACTTTTTGTTGGGAGATCTCGTATTACCATCTCTAACATCAAACCCATGGTCTGACCTAAACAAATAAAGTTAGGGGATTAATTAATCAAACCTCCCACATGTTTAGACTAGCCTTAGATAGTTGAAAACTAGAACCGACTAGCCCTAGCTTAGGTTAATTATGTTGAATTGAATACAACAATAACCTAAAGCATTGTTTCTAGATTGTAATGTATCTTTTGTCATACACAGTAGATTTTATTCCAAGAATTGTAGTAACTTTTAATTTAAAATCAACGAGAGAATCCTTACTTTTTCTTACAAATAATATATCTTAATATTAGCATTGTACATATACTTTACATAAGTATATTTTACAATGAAAACAGGAACAAAAATCCTTCATCATATATTTATATAAGAAGAAAATATATTTTTATAGACAATTCCAGTAGTTCGACTATTCAGAATATTACAAACAATTTTCCTTTTCTTTATTGGGGCTGCATTCCTTTTTTTTTATTCAAGGAATACTATATTTGTCAGTACTTAAAACAATGGCTTTGAATTTATAAAAGAGAAAAATTGGCTTTGTTTTGGACAGAAAATACTAGGCTTTGGCACGAAGCGGATATCCGAAAAATTTGGGATATTCGTTATTCAATTCGTTTCAATCGAATACTTGATTTTGTGATTTGCTTTGATCCGAAAATTTTTGGATATTCGAAAAATCGAATATCACTTCACCGAAATTTTTTGGATATTCCAACTTCTTATTTTTAAGAGATATTGATTTTTCTTTTTTAATAAATTTCACTTCACTAATAAAAATTATTAAATTGTGTCACAAACACAAGTCCGAAGGATAAAAAACAGAGTTTACAAACACAAGCCAAAAATATATTATGATATGCATATATATATATATATATATATATTCTAATATATATCGAAAAATACGAATCGAAACGGATATTCGACTTTTAAAAAAACAATATTTGTTATTTGTTCCGGTTTTTACGAATACTACGTTTTTCTATTTGTTTTGCTCCAAAATTTTATGGATATTCAGATTTTTCGAATCGAATCAAAACGAATACCGAGTAGAAGCAGATCTAACTAATATTTTGTCTAGGCCTAGAAAATACTACTATTTGAGAATGGCGGTCATACGTAATTAAGGGGCAGTGAAAGGGACATAACTGGAAGATAAATAAAATAAAATAAAATAAAGGAGTATAAAAGTCGACCAATCAGTCACTCTCAAACGCGTTAGTCAATGGGAACCGGCAAATGTAGACGCCATTCGCCGAACCGGTAATTACGTGTAACCGCCACCGGTTTACTTCTCAAAAGTTCTGACTTTCCTTAATTATTGCAACACGAATTTTGAACTGGCCAACTGAATCATGCTCTGTTCTTTTTCGTACTAGTCAACTATTAGCGACCGAACCGATCTATATACTATTCAATAGTTCAACGTTAGAATTATCAAGGACAATAACAAGTTTCGACGATCAAAACTATTCCTTTCATATACAACATTTTTAGTTAGACACAAAATCACTAATCCATAATTTAAAACGTTATTTGTTATTCATTTAAGTTGTTAAAAATATATCTCTAAAATCAAGTTGCTAAACCAATAAATTACAAAACGGTCATATGATTTAAAGTTTCTCCAAAAAAGGACTTCATTTTTGAGGTTGAAGAGTGTTGTTCTCCAAAAAAAAAAAAAAATTCACTTCAAAACTATTTTTATTTTGCATAATAGTCCTCAGTATTGATTATAATTAATTAAGATCATAAAATTATAAATTGTATTTGGTGCTTTTCAAAAAATAAAAATATATTTGCTCAATCATAACAAAATATTTTATATCCGAGTTCTGGAGGTCTTAAAACTAGCCCAACATGCACAATTACGAAACCCACTAATATTTAAAGCCCAATAGACCCAATCACAATTGCAATTAATTAAAACGTGTTTAACAACAACAAATTTGTTTATTATGAGTTAGAGACAGAGTACAATCCAACGATCAATTAAAAAAAAAAGGATCATTCCTCGAAGTTGATGAATCTCTTATACATGTTTTTTTCTCTGTTCTTAGATTTAGAAGACTGTAACTTGTTTGATAAATTTTGTTGTGTTTATTGTTTAATGCTCAAGTCTATTCAGATTAATAAATTTTGATAATTTGGTTTTATATTTCTCCTTTTTAAAAAGAAAAACTTTAAAGAATGTGGTTCTGTGATGACTAGTGAGTGACCACTCACACCACCAACAACAACTTGGTCAGTGGGAGAATCATTTTATTTGATTCTTCGTTGAGAAACTTAAATCAGCTTTACGTGAAGATTTTCATGTTCAGGAGAAAGTAAAAAAATGGGTTCCATTGATGAAGAAAGGTCACTTCTTGAAGTTGAAGAAGTGAAATTGTATGCTGAAGATGGTTCAATAGATATTCATGGAAATCCACCATTGAAGCAGAAAACAGGAAACTGGAAAGCTTGTCCATTTATTTTTGGTATAAACCCTTTGTTTTATTTCACTTGTAATTACTTGTTGTGTTCTCTCATGTTTTGTCTTTAACCTCCAAAAACTGGTATCTATGCTTTGGTGCAGCTAACGAATGCTGTGAACGGTTGGCTTATTATGGCATTGCCAAGAATCTAATCACTTACTTCACAAATGAATTGCATGAGACTAATGTTTCTGCTGCTAGACACGTCATGACATGGCAAGGGACATGTTATATCACTCCTCTTATTGGAGCTTTAATAGCTGATGCTTATTGGGGACGATATTGGACTATTGCTTGTTTCTCTGCCATTTATTTCACTGTAAGCATTTTCTTGAAAAAAAAAACTTTGGTTATGTTCTTTTGCTTGATGTTCTGTATATTGATATGGTTTTTAGGGAATGGTTGCATTGACACTATCAGCTTCAGTTCCGGGTTTGAAGCCAGCGGAATGCATTGGCTCTCTATGTCCACCAGCAACAATGGCTCAGTCTACGGTTTTATTTTCAGGTCTTTACCTTATAGCACTTGGGACTGGAGGAATCAAACCATGTGTTTCATCCTTTGGTGCTGATCAGTTTGATAAGACCGATCCAAGCGAACGAGTTAGAAAAGCTTCTTTCTTTAACTGGTTTTACTTTACCATCAACATTGGTGCGTTTGTTTCATCTACTGTTCTAGTTTGGATTCAAGAGAATTGTGGATGGGAATTGGGATTCTTGATACCTACCGTGTTCATGGGACTTGCTACTGTGAGTTTCTTCTTTGGTACGCCGCTTTATAGATTTCAGAAACCGAGAGGTAGTCCGATTACTAGAGTCTTCCAAGTTCTTGTAGCTGCATACCGCAAATCGAATCTCAAGGTCCCTGAAGACTGCAAGATAGAGCACACGGACGGTTACAAGAAAATCTTTTTCCCTCTCATTTCTTATTTTGAATTGAGTCTATTCATTAGTTTAATAAACGGTTTTTCATATTAATGTACAGGTTTCTTGACAAAGCCGCAATTATATCAGAAGGAGAGGCGGAATCTGAACCCTTTCCCGATCCGTGGAAGCTCTGTACCGTGACTCAAGTCGAAGAAGTTAAGATTCTGTTACGTTTGTTCCCCATTTGGGCCTCGGGCATCATCTTCTCAGTTCTCCACTCACAGATTTACACTCTCTTTGTTCAACAAGGACGGTCCATGAAACGAACCATCGGCTCATTCGAAATCCCTCCAGCTACTCTCGGGATGTTCGACACTGCAAGTGTTCTCATATCTGTCCCAATCTATGACCGCATCATCGTTCCCTTTGTGAGACGGTTCACAGGCTTAGCGAAAGGATTAACCGAGCTACAACGAATGGGGATTGGACTTTTTATCTCTGTTTTGAGCTTGACATTTGCAGCTATCGTTGAGACGGTTCGGTTACAGTTAGCCCGAGATCTTGATCTAGTAGAAAGTGGAGACACTGTTCCATTAACAATCTTTTGGCAAATCCCTCAGTACTTTTTTATGGGCACTGCTGGAGTTTTCTACTTCGTTGGGAGGATCGAGTTTTTCTATGAGCAGTCTCCAGATTCAATGAGAAGCTTGTGTAGTGCTTGGGCTCTTCTGACTACAACACTAGGAAACTACTTGAGCTCGTTGATCATTACACTTGTGGCGTATTTGAGCGGTAAAGATTGTTGGATCCTTCAGACAACATTAACAATGGACATCTTGATTACTTCTTCTGGCTTTTGGTCTGTCTTGGATGTGTTAACATACCCGTTTTTGTCTTCTTCTCTGTCAAATACACTCACAAGAAGGCTTGATCTCTTCTTCTGCTCTTGTGTGTACTTTCAAAATGTGTGGACCTTTGTGTTGCAAATTGAAAGTTATATGGCCCTCTGTTTTGGCTTTAGGATATAGTTATACTACGTAAATTAAATTACACAATTCCATATTAGAGATTTGTTCTTACAATTTTTGAGTTATGTATACTCTTACAATTTGAGCCATGGATAATAATGGAAAACAAACCTAAACAAAATTTGGAAGAAAAATACAAAAAAAATTTGTTGTCCTACATTTAATAACTATTGTCGGATAATACTTTATTTTTGCACAAAAAAAAAAAAATACTTTATTTTCCAAACATTACCGTTTCATACACACGATTTACCAAAAAAAAATATTCTTGAGAACCTAAAAATACTCTTTAACATATCTTCTAAGAAAAATAACAAAGAACATTAAACTACTATATATATATATATATATCATATCATTGCACTTTGATTCCACCCACTCTCTCTCCACATTCGTTGTTTCTGTCCTCCAGAATCTAACAAAGAAACCGGTTTTCCACGATTTAATAGTTTCTTGCCAAACCGCAAAATTACAAAAGTATATATATTTTTTTTTTTATCAAAACCGTAAAAATTGCGGAATTATGTTATAGTGGAAGATAAATGAAAAATTGAATTATAGTCTCGTGTAGAAGAGTAGAAGAAGATATGAAAAAGGTAAATGAATAATTTAACTATGGGCTCATCTAGGCCCAATTGATGATGTAAACCGGTCGGTTTGGGAAATGGAAACAAAGAGAAGATGTATGTGTTACTGTAGTATTAGGTTATGGGCTTATTGTAAATTGTGATTGCTTGAGTATTCATTGATGCAGATGTGATACATTTATACAAGAGTTAGATCCTATGATTACGGGATACACAAGATACTTGATAAAGATATCTCTAGAATGATAAGTATATATCTCTAGGATATCGTTAGAATATTCACTTATGACGCGTTCGTTTTCCTGCTGAAATTTGGACATCGGAGTTATAAATTCTGCGCCGTTGAATTCACGAGAGTAAGTAGAAAGAGAAATTAAATCGATGGAGAAAACTCAGAAACTCCTGAGAAAAGAAATCAAACGAAGAAGAAGAGAGTTTGAGAAAATTCATATACCTAACGAAATCGTCGAAGAAATCATGGTGAGGCTTCCGGTGAAATCGCTCACGAGATTTCAAAGTGTGTCGAAATACTGGAGAACTCTGATCACGTCCAAGGATTTCGGGGAAAGACACATGGCTCTTGAGAAAAGCAAAGGATGCAAACTCATTTTTGTCTGTGATGATTTTGAAGATCGTGCGGAGGACACTCTGTTTTTAAAAACAGTTGCCTTGGAGAAGACGTCAGCTTCTGAGGGAGATGAACAAGCTTTCGAATTCCAAGGATTTAATGGGTTTCTGGATATTTCCGAGAGCTGTGATGGCCTTATCTGCTTCTACGACACTAAAAGAGCAGTGGAAGTTATGAATCCGGCCACAACAATGTTCATACAACTCCCTCTATCGAGAATTCAACGGCTTTGTATATACAAATATCCAAACTCGGAGGTTCAAGATCCAAATCCTGTTCCAGACCCAATCATGTCATGTTCTCAGTTGGGGTTTGGGAAAGACAGCGTTAATGGAAGTTATAAACTAGTATGGATGTATAATACTTCTCCTGCTACTCCTCCTACGTGCGAGGTTTTGGATTTAGAGGGAAAAAAATGGAGGTTCGTGAATACTAATACTCTTGATCATCATAAGATCTTGTTCAATCAGAGGCCAGTGTTTGCAAACGGATCACTCTACTGGCTCACGGGAGATGAACAAGGATATGCAACAACACAAACCAAACTCATAGTTTTCGATATTCACACAGAGATGTTTCAAGTCATCCAAACACCGCCTTTTTTTACCCATGATGCATCTGGTGACAAGATTGGTTTATGCAATCTTGATGGTCGTCTCTGTATCTCTGAGTTGAAGAAAGATTGCAAGCAGGAGTTTTGGTGGAGAATTGAAGACACCAACACATGGGAGAGGATCTTCTCGGTTGATTTGCTTTCTACTTCCACTTGGTTTGGTGGTATCACCTGGCAGCCTCTCACACCTTTAACCATCTCTAGGGACACCAATAAAGTCATTCTCTCACTTCGCTATCAAGATAATCTCGTTGCCCTCGATCTTGATCCTAACTCTTCAGTTTGTCATTTGTATTTTTCTGGTTACTACGGCTTAGTATGTCCTTATTTTCCAAGTTTTGTCACTTGCCATTGAAGTTTTAGCAAGTTTGTAGCTCTTTCATAGAGAAAAATAAAAACCGGCCATTTTAAGTTCATTATCCAATAACTTGAGAATGAAAATCAAATTGTATGAGTCTATGACTCTTTCATTCGTATTTGAAATATATCAACTCCGTTAATTAACACAATTAATGCTCAGTAGGATTCTTAAAGATAGAAACCAAAGAAACACTCACTACTATTAACCCCTTCTTTTAGAGTAAAAACTTTGTCATGCCAAATTAAACAATATATAGAGTTATATAACGGAGAATATAAACTTGACAATATTGTCGTCACACCACTCAGTTTAAAGGTGAATGTCAGTATCTAATAATGGAATAGCGAAGAGAACTACCTGGTGAATGTCAATATCAAGATTGGTTTCATTGATGGGAGTCTTCAGAAACAGAGAAGCTAGCTGAGATGTGGAAGACCGTTTTTTTTTTTTGGTAGGCAGATGTGGAAGACCGTTAATTATATGATCGTGGGATGGATTAGAGCATCAATAAAAAAAAAAACAAAAATATTTGATCACATATGTTTTTTTGAACTTTTGTTGTTGTTATAATTTCTGATTTTTATTCTTTTTTTTTAATTGAAATTTTTGATTTTTATTCAATCATAAGGGACTAGTACATTAATTAGGATAAAAGAAAAAGAGCCACAAGAGCTCTCCATGTTTTTGTTGTTGTTATAGAGCAAAGAGCATCCATCATAATAGAAGAGTAATTCCTTGGAAGTTGGAACCAAAGAGAGTGTTTATATAGAGACTATATGTCGTGCCGTCTTCTTCTTCTCATTATATATGCGCAAAATTTGTATATATATATATATAATATAGTTTCTACAGAATTATTCTTGTGAATGTAATATATATTAATATGTGTCATGTGTGTGTTATATCTATTCAACATTTATGGTTTTTATAATTCTCTAAGGTGTGAGCGGAAACCAAAGAACGATATCACAGTTTGGATATTGAAGCTATAGAGAGAAGAGAGAAACTAACTTAATTAATTAATTCAAGAAAAAGACTAATTAGCAAATCTGTTTAACAAAGTAACAGACTCACAAAACTGATTAACAGACTAACGGACGCAGACACGCAGTTCGAGAAAAAACAAACCAAATTATGATGTTTATCAAATTAAACACACTTTTGGCTAATTATTCTTTTTAATTGGTTGATTTCTTTTTTACGGTAATGGTATTGTAATAAACATTGGCTTACATATTACTATTATTTTTCCATTATCTCGTCGCATAACAATTAACACACTGAGAAACCAGGTACAGTAATAATTAATGTAATTCCTACTTCGTAAATAAGTAAAATGTGGAGCACTATCTTCGATGTCTTCTGATTATTAATATTAAAGCCAGCCTTAAAATAATTTCCCACGTACAAAACCATTACGTAAGCAAACCTATATATACTCTATTTCACTTGTTTCCCCAAACCATCATCATCTCTCTCTCAATTCACTTTCTCCTTTTTCTATTTCCCAAACACTTTCCCGAGAAAATTAGATACTCTAATTAATGGCCAACTGGAAGTCTCATGAAGATGTTTGTCTCATGGAAGGGATAAAGAGATACGGTCTTCGAAGATGGGACAAGATCTCAGCATCACTACTTCTCTCCCATCGAAGCATCGCTGAGTGCAAAAAGCGATTCGAGTCTTTCCTTGAACCAAAGGTGAAGTTATTTTCCCGAGAAAGTTTTGTTATGTTTTCATAGAATCTAGGGTTTTCTTTAGTCAATATCTTCAATCTTTTCATTTCTTTTCGATTAGTTTCTTCTTTGCACAATACAATAATTGTTTTCATTTCTTCAAATTTGGGTTATATTTCCGAGAAGAATATGTTCAGCTGTTTCCCAAGAATCTTGTGTTTTCTTTAGTCAATATATAGATCATCAATCTTTTCGTTTCTTTTCTACTAGTTTCTTCTTTGCACCATACAATTGTGTTCTTTTTCATTGCCAGAAACTTGGTTGTTTTACCGAGAAACCTATTTCTTCATTTATGAGAATCTTTATTTGCCAAAGAATCTTTCCAGATAATTTCTTGTTTCTTTTTCTAAAGTCAACTTATTTATGTTATTTTTAGACATGGACTTACGAAGATGACAAAAAACTAAGCGACTTAGCTCAGATTCACAAGCCTTCGTGGACCACGATTGGTGATTTGATGGGAAGAGATGGCAATTCTTGCTTTCGCCGTTTCATTTCACTTCCTTCATTGGTATTTGATATTTCTTTCTTATACTTTTTGAAGATTATTCTTTTGTTTACCTCTAAAAGTTCATCGTTTTCTTTCATTAGGCACGGGAAAATAATATTCAAGCTGGAGGCATGAAAATGTCTAAACCGATGAAGAAGTTTAAACCGAAAAGAAAGGTGTCTATGTACAAATATATATTTTTTACTGTTATTTTTTTTGATAAAGTTTAATACAGTATACAGTAATTTTCATTATCTTTTTTGTTTGTTTGTAATATACGCATTTAAAGTAAAATCCATGTATAGGTTGCACAGTTAGAGGAAATTCCAGCATTTGGAGATAGATCAGAAATGAAAAAACGAAAGGTGAGTTTTGTGTAGTTTTGTATATTTGGTTTATTTCACTAATGATTTTTTTTTTAATAGAAGGATTTTGTTTTTTTTCATATACAGGGATATTGCATGAAAACCAAAGTGCAGCTGGATTGAAGTTGATGTTGGGAAGAAAAGATTTTTATTAGAGTTGAACTTTTTTTCCTTTTTTCGCCTATTAGTGTTGAACTTTTTTTTCCCTTTTTCCCTTCGTGTGTTCTGACTATTAATTTTGATATCAGAGCATAGTTTTTAATAAAGAGTGAGTTCTAAAATCTTTTGCTGAACCAAAGATTCTTATTTTTTTCTTGGTTTTGATCGACGATGATATATCGTAGTAGATGAGTTAGTTACATATATATTCCCTTTTTATTCAGTTTTATTTATATATTCCAATTAAATAAAATTGCCGGGAAAAGTAATATAATTAACTAGGAATATAAAAATATTCACATCTACCACCAATGAATAATAGAGTATATATAGCTTCAACGTATTAATCAACTAGGAATTTCCATTTCTCCTAACTTTGCTGAATTCTAAATCATGACTTGAGCTTCATATTAAGCATTTGTTCTTTAAGGGTTTCTTGAGAGATTTTTGCTGGTAATTACTGTTTGTTATCTGAGTGTTCTTTGATTGTTTTCGATGTATAATGTATCTATCCAAAGTCTAAACGATTTATTGATTGTTAAACCATACCACTGGAAATGGAATCCAGTGGAGTTTAATGGAAACCCACCATTATGTAATTTGTTAGAGTCAATTCTTTTTTATTTTAGAAATATTTCGTTTGTAGCGGTTATTAAATATATATATATATATATATATGTGTATTTTTTCTTGATTAGGGTGATATCAACAACTTGAGACATGGACAAGTTGATCCACAATTCTATCTTACGTCATAATTATAATACAGAAATCGTAAAAGAAGAATTAGTGAAATTACTTCTCTTCTTATTATTAGTATCAATTTGATTTTTATTTTCCAATTAGTCGCCGGGAAAAGTAAAATAAAAAACCGTCACGTCTTCTGATAAATAATAGAGTATCGATAGATAGGTAGCTTCAACGTAAGGAATCTAAATTGGTTCTGCTCAAAAACGAAAACGATGGGTTCCATTGAAGAAGAAGCAAAACCTCTCATCGAAGAAGGTTTAATATTACAGGTCTGTTCAATTTCAATCTCTTGGATTCCGTTAATCAATTAGGTTACCGAATTTTGATTTTTGCATCGTTAGGATTTTGCTGATATTTCAAAATCTTGACTTTAGATTGATCTTATGCATTTTCTTTCTGGGTTTATTGAGATCTTTTCTGGGTAATCACTGTTTTATCTTAGTGTTCTTGATCGTTTTTGATTTAGGTGATGATTCCAATGTTTGAAATTTTCTATCTTTGATACAGTTATGATTTAGTTAGCTAATTAAAAGCTCGAATTTTTTTGTTAACAGTAATGAAAATGTTTGGTGATTTTGTTTTAACTAGGAAGCGAAATTGTATGCTGAAGATGGTTCAGTGGACTTTAATGGAAACCCACCATTGAAGGAGAAAACAGGAAACTGGAAAGCTTGTCCTTTTATTCTTGGTAATGAATGTTGTGAGAGGCTAGCTTACTATGGTATTGCTGGGAATCTTATCACTTACCTTACCACTAAGCTACATCAAGGAAATGTTTCTGCTGCTACAAATGTTACTACATGGCAAGGGACTTGTTATCTTACTCCTCTCATTGGAGCTGTTTTGGCCGATGCTTACTGGGGAAGATACTGGACTATTGCTTGTTTCTCCGGGATTTATTTCATCGTAAGCATTGTTTCTCTGTGTAATGTTTGGTTTGGTTTGTTTGCTCTGATTACTGATTGGTTTTTTTGTATTTGTTTAGGGGATGTCGGCGTTAACTCTTTCAGCAGCAGTTCCGGCATTGAAGCCAGCGGAATGCATTGGTGATTTTTGTCCATCCGCAACGCCAGCTCAGTATGCGATGTTTTTTGGCGGGCTTTACCTGATCGCTCTTGGAACTGGAGGTATCAAACCATGTGTCTCATCCTTTGGTGCAGATCAGTTTGATGACACGGACTCGCGTGAACGAGTTAGAAAAGCTTCCTTCTTTAACTGGTTTTACTTCTCCATCAATATTGGTGCACTTGTGTCATCTAGTCTTCTAGTTTGGATTCAAGAGAATCGCGGGTGGGGTTTAGGATTTGGGATACCAACTGTGTTCATGGGACTCGCCATTGCAAGTTTCTTCTTTGGCACACCGCTTTATAGGTTTCAGAAACCTGGAGGAAGCCCGATAACTCGGATTTCCCAAGTTGTTGTTGCTTCATTCCGGAAATCATCTGTCAAACTCCCTGAAGACCCCATGCTTCTGTATGAAACACAAGACAAGAACTCTGCTATTGCTGGAAGTAGAAAAATCGAGCATACCGATGATTGCAAGTATAAATTTTTAATCCTCTTCATTTACTTTCCAGGAACATATACCTTTGCTTGGTTTGACAAGGTCTTCCGGTATGATGCAGGTATCTTGACAAAGCCGCTGTTATCTCAGAAGAAGAATCGAAATCCGGAGATTATTCCAACTCATGGAGACTATGCACGGTTACGCAAGTCGAAGAACTCAAGATTCTGATCCGAATGTTCCCAATCTGGGCTTCCGGTATAATTTTCTCAGCTGTATACGCACAAATGTCCACAATGTTTGTTCAACAAGGCCGAGCCATGAACTGCAAAATCGGATCGTTCCAGCTTCCTCCAGCAGCACTAGGGACATTCGACACTGCTAGCGTCATCATCTGGGTCCCGCTCTACGACCGGTTCATCATTCCCTTAGCAAGACGGTTCACAGGAGTAGACAAAGGATTCACGGAGATACAAAGAATGGGAATCGGTCTTTTTGTCTCTGTTCTCTGTATGGCAGCTGCAGCCATTGTCGAAATCATCCGTCTCCATATGGCCAACGACCTCGGATTAGTCGAGTCCGGAGCCCCAGTTCCCATATCCGTCTTATGGCAGATTCCGCAGTACTTCATTCTCGGTGCAGCAGAAGTATTCTACTTCATCGGTCAGCTAGAATTCTTCTACGACCAATCTCCAGATGCAATGAGAAGCTTGTGCAGTGCCTTATCTCTTCTGACCACCGCACTTGGGAACTACTTGAGCTCGTTGATCCTCACGCTCGTGACTTATTTCACGACAAGAAATGGTCAAGAAGGTTGGATATCGGATAATCTCAATTCGGGTCATCTCGATTACTTCTTCTGGCTCTTGGCTGGTCTTAGCCTTGTGAACATGGCTGTTTACTTCTTCTCTGCTGCTAGGTATAAGCAAAAGAAGGCTTCGTAGTAATGTTGTTTACTCTCTCTCTCTCCTTTCATTACATACAAAAGTTTGTTTCTTTCAACTGTAACAGTCTCTGTTTCTCTTCTGTGATATTGCTGTGTACTTTCTCTTTCAATTTCAAAAGTTTAAGTCGCATTTGCAATATTATACACAATTCAGATTGAGAGATATTATACAAAGGCTTTCGGGCTTAGTAAATCAAATGGGCTTTTTAGATCAAATGGGCCCATATGAAACGGGTCAATCATATGACCCGGAAACGAAGAATCTAACTATGTCCGGGTCAATCAAAAGAAGAAGAAGAAGAAGAGAGTAATCGTTGAGGTTTGGGGATCGCGAAAATGGAGGTTCCAGGTTCATCGAAGAAGATGATCGCAACGCAAGAAGAGATGTCTGCAGCTAAAATACCACTTGGTTCTAGAGATCAGTGCGCTCATCTCTTGATTCCTCTCAACAAATGTCGTCAGGCTGAGTTTTTCCTTCCATGGAAATGCGAAGACGAGCGTCACGTTTACGAGAAGTGTGAATACGAGCTTGTTATGGAGAGAATGCTTGCGATGAAGAAGATCCGTGAAGAAGAAGCTTTGGCTAAACAGAATAAACTACAAGGGAACGCCGCTGTTCCTCTTATCCCTAAAACTGCTAATGCTTAGCCTCCTCCGATTCGATTCCTTCTCCGATTTGCCGATTCCAGATTCCGGTTAGTTTATAGTTTTTCGATTTCTTGTGTGTTTGGGTGATTTTGATTGAATTGGTTTGTTTCTTCTGCAACATGATCAGATCTTCGTGTTCGAATTAGGGTTTCGTTGGGAATAAATGAGATTTTGAATTGTGAGTTCTTCGTTTGTATTACTGATTGTTCAATATAATCTCTCTTTTTGCCTCTCGTTTGAACATTTGACTACAATTGGATTCAATTTCTTGAAGAAATATCTCTTACACTACAACCAAAATTGATCTGTATCAATCCTGATAGAGAAATGTCTGGATTTGTACCTCTTGTTGTTAAAAATCTCAGTGATATCTGAAGTTTTGAATAAGGATCATTCCATCATTGACTGGATTTTCTACAGATTTCGTTTCATGTTGTTTCTTTTTCATTCAAAGCTTAATAGATTAGTCTTTTAAGTAATCAGTAGCACTAATTTGCTGATACCTTTAGGTGCTTGTTTATTAAGACTATATAAGTGTGTTTATTGAGACTATGTACAGATTTAAGTGTGTTTCACTGATTAACAAGACACATATCAGTACTTTAGACTATAGAATTTATGTTTAGAAGTTCTATGTTCGATGAACTTGCAAATTGTGTCTCAGATATCAGGACTAGCAATTGTTACAGTCAGTTTGTTTTACAGACCCCCAAAGGATATAAGAGTGTTGCACTTATTAACAGGACACAAATATATTCGTTAGACTATATCTTATATGTTTACAACTTCTTTTGCTTGTTCTATGTCCTGTGAACTTGTAAATTATGTTTCAGATATCATGGTAACAATTGTTGCAGTCGCTTTGTTGTGTTACAGACGGGATATAAGAGTGTTTCACTCATTAACTAGACCCAACTCAATTCGTTAAACTTTTGATTTTATGTTCTCACATTTCTAGGTTTTGAACTTCTTATGCTTGACTATCTTTTGTGAACTTGTAAGATATTCATGGCTAAGAATTGGTACAGTTACATATAAATACTTAAGAAGTATTGTAAAATTACAGCACCAACTACATAGCTGTGTCTAAACATCTTCTGCTTTATTGATTCTGCAAGAGATATCATTTTTGATTTTATATACAGATATTTAAATGTCACAACAGCTACAGAAAGATTCTCTTGATGTCTCTCACCTTGTCGTTCTCACTTGCCATTGAGTACTCTTGCATGTTTGTGTGATTCTTTCCTTTTTAATATAGTTCTTATGTGTTTCACTACTTGTTCATTGTATATGCCGCTATGATTTGACACCAATGGTATTTCTCTGCTCTAAAGACAGACTTCTAAACGTTTTGTCTAAGATGCTTCAACATAACAATGATTTTGTTTTCTCCTGATTTGATTCTTTATTCATTCTTCTGAGTCCTAATTCACACTCTGAAAATATTTGGACAGGGATTCTCTGGAACTGTGAAGAAGGTGGGGGCTCTGCTTTTCAATCTTTTTCTTCTTGCTAGTGATGAAAAATTGTTGCTACATTCTCAGATGTGAATGTTCAAGATTCTCTATCTTTTTGTTTTTACTCTTGTTAACTTGGAAGTGTTTCCCAAAAAAATAAGATGCAAACTAATCTTTTTGTTAGTTTTCTATCTTTAATATTTGAGAAAGAAAAAAACATATGAGATTAATAGGATTTTTCTTTTCAAATGAAAATGACCAACAGATCACTTAAATTGCTTAGAGAACCAAATCATTTTCACTGGGAGAGATCCAGATCCATCTTAGCGAAATTATTAAAATACATTAATTTGGCAATACTAAAAGTCTAAATGGTAATCTAGAGTTCTACCATAGAAGCTTCCGTTATATCAATGCTAAAAACACATACCATTTTGTATCACCAATACGCAAGTTATGGTTATGTAGATAAAAAAAAAAAGGTATACCACTTTGTAGCTTATCTCCTTGATGGAGAAGACCAAAAAACATGGAATGAGAAAGGAAGAGGTTATACTTCTTTTTTTAGTAAATAAAATAAAAATAAAAGAGGTTATGCTAAGAAAACATATCAAATCTAATTCCAATACTTAAGGATGAAAAGTCAAGAGTTGTTTGGTCCAACTTCCAATAATTATGCACTCACTACTCTTAAACCATTGCACATGACCATGCAATGTCTATATCTATCCATGTGTACATTGTTGTATATTATATTCTCTGTCTTGTAATTGTATATTAGTTGTATAATTATTTTGTGGCCCAACCATTCCCAAATCACACTTTTAAACAACTCTCTTTCACTTTTGTTTTATGTTATTTTAGGTGTGAAAGGCTAATTCTTCTATGTTCTCTCTAGGTGTTTCATGGATTACACCTTTTATATTACTTTTAACCATCTTAGAATTTGCCTTGTTCTTGCATGTGCTATGATTGAATTCAATCAATGGGTGATGAGAAAATTGACCCAATAAAAAATAAATAATATTGACAATCGTCGAATGGTTTGGTGAGATTTGCACATCCAAACTTTACACGCACACAAAAAAGAATGTTATGGTTTTATAGTCCAAAATCCAGTTGGGTTGCATTATCTTAAATATGTATAAAGTTTTATAATAATTAAAGAAAAAAAAAACAAAGAGAATTATTGAATGTTTTGATTGTGGTAAAAGCCATGAATCATGGACCTCCACAGTCAATTACTCATTCAATTTCTCTTGGAGCTATTTGTCTCTGCCAGACTCATTTAATGTATTATTTTCATTTGCTTCTATTTTCTTTCACATTTTTTCCTTTATTTTATCACCGGATAATATATACAGTAGTAATAACCATTTTGACACTTGAATTTTCGGTTAAACATTTTACCCATCCATGGAATTGTGTTTAGAACTTTAGATAGCAATTTTTACCATTGATGGCCTATTTGACATATCAAACTAATAGGTTTTATCACAATTTCTAGAGAAAAATTAGAATTTACTATCTATATTTTTGGAAAGAAAAAATAAATCTATATTTTTGAAGAATTTTTTAAAATTTTATTAATTATTGTTGATTATATATGAACAAGAGACAAGCGCCCCTAACAAACTTGTAGTTTTTAATATCCATTTTTTATCCGAGTGTAGCAACTCTCAAGTTCTCTTATAATGCTCATCACAACCATAAGTCCATAACAAAGCTAAGCAGTACAAAACAAAAGATAAATAAACAACCAAAAGGATCTCTGAAATTTAGAAACAACATTTTGTAATTTCTCCTACATCCTGCACATTTTACTCTCATTCATAAAACTGAAAATAATTTTCATGTGCATGTTTCAGCTGTTCGCTAGGATGATATATGTCTTCACTAAATTTGAATAAAACTTTATTGCCAAAAAAGTGTGTCCGTGTACATCTCTTATTGAAAAAAATTTGTCATTTAGGCTCCGAACTCTAATTATATGCTTAGAAATTTGAACATTGATATATTTTTGTTAGAAAAATTTATTAGAAAATATTAGGACTATATAAGGGAAATAGGTGGTATTTCTTTTTACTTAGATTCAAATTGTTGGTCGAAAACTCGCCCAAATCATTAAATATGGTAATATAACCCCATTTTCACTAATAAAATAAAAGTCTACCAATTGTTTCACTAATAAAACCTTTTGGAATGTGTTTACTTGATTATTTTGATCAATGATCATAACCTAGGTAGCTTTTTGTGTCATTCTTCTAGTCAATATATAGATAATATACGCAACTCGTGTGTCTTTGACAAGTGGTGATTGAATATGATATTTTAGTTACCTTCTAATCGAACACTAAACTTTTTCTAAACCATTGTTTAAAGTCTCCTAAATCATTAAAGCGAATTTTGGCATATACGTACGCAGAGAATTCCACGTTTTTATAATAATTTAGAGAATGTGCATAAATGAGAAGAAAAGGCAAGGCATATTACTCTACATTAAAGTCAATGACCTCACTTTGTGTGTAGATTTGATTGTTTTTTTCGTTGGGTATATAGATGTCTGATTTCTGTGTGGAATAAAAACAACGACTTTGTTAAATTAGTATTAAATTTTGTTCTCTTAAGTGAATATTCATTTGGTTTTTTGTTATTTTTTTTATTATTATTGTCTGATGCCACGTGAATCCACGAGTAAGTTTATAGTACAAATCAATTATAATTTCTAATACTACGTGAAATCATATACATACTTAATTTCTTATAAGAAAAAGAAATACATACTAATTGATTTAAAAACAGTATTTGATGTTTAATGTAATTAGTTAATTGTAGAATAGCTGATAAAATAAGGTGATTTTGAAAAGGAAAATACTATTCGTATAAATATGTCCACAATTCGTTGATTAAAATATTGAATTCGTGGTTGGAAAATTTGGAGAAGTCAGTAATTATTGTCGGCTACCATATAGGGATATGATAGTTTTGGTTCGTTTCCATGTACACCAAAACAACAATGAAAAATAAGAAGAAAAAGTGTTAGACCAAGGCCAGAGCCAGAGCCAGAGTATGGGGACAATTTTTATAATTTGGGGGGAATAAATAATTTTTATCTCAAGCTTTATTATTACTTAATATGGAAGGGAAAAAGAATAGAATAAGAAGAAAAATGAATGAGAAATGGGAGAAAATGTAAAGGGATTAGGGGAATGAAGTCAAAACGGTGGTCCAAAAGACATAACGGAGGACCATTGTAAAATTGTGATTTATTGAAATCAGAAAGTTTAACACGAAACCCTAAAAAAACAAAACAAAAAAACAAAAAGAGAAAAATAGGAACAATAATTATGCTATGGTCAAAGCTAAGCAGTTGGGCTATTTTCATTTAAATTTATACTACTAGTTTTGGTCTAAAACCTATCGTGAAAAAAGTGAGAAAGTAAAGTTTGAGGTACTGTAGAGGAAACTTCTTCAATTGGGTAAATCCCAAATCCCTATAAGGTGAATATTATGTGTTTTAATTTGCGAAATTTGGTTTTCTATGACAAGCTAGATAAAAGTATATTCTTTTGACCAGCTAACAAATGTGTGTTTATTTTGGTTTTACATAATTTAATTTTACTGTGGCAAACGACTAATATTCGGATCTATGTTTTTTTTTTCATGCAAGTTGTGTATATAGCCTTGTGTAGTTCTCTGGTACGTTGATATGCAATGATTCTCTCAATAACTATTTAAAAACATTTTAAGATAATAATAATGAATATGGGGTCGAGAGTCAAGACTAATGTAACCAAAGTCAAATGGATTTTCGTATGATTACTACTTTTGTAGATTATATATCCTTGTAGGTCAAAAAACACATGTCACCTCTCTTTGTTTTTAATAAACAAATTTTATAACAACATTCCAGCTTGTAGATCATTTATTCTTTTTATTTGCTAGTCCAATTGTCTAAATAAGTAACCCTATACCATAAACCATACCAAACTATAAAAATTTGACTTTACGATATTTACGTATCATCAAAATCGTCACGTATGTCATGAACAATTCATATATTTTTTTCTTTTTATGTAGTTTTTGTTTTGTAAGATGAAACATCATTATTCATTATCACAACATAATTTAAAATCAAACCTATGTTTAGGTACCTTATTTCGATTAAATTAAGTTTAACTTAAATTATTGTATTTCTAAAACCAAAACTATCTAATAAAATCCGAATTAAACACAACTACAATGGAATATCCGAATTTCTAAAGTTTTATAATGATAATTCTTTGGAATTTTGCAAAAATATATGTATATAGAGAGAGAGATTATAAGTATGAGTGAATCCAAAAAGAGACAAAAAGAATAGATGGAAAAAAGAGACAGTCATCTTTTAGAAAGAGCCAAAAACAAAAACTTACTCTTTTAATCCCCAACCCAACACCCTCTCAAATCCTCTCTTCTCCTTTAGGGTTCTTCGCTTTTCTCTTTCTTCTTCACAGAACCATCAAAAAATCAAACCTTTCTTCTTGGGTCTTAGTAAAAATCGAATCTTGTGTCGGTTTTTAGGTTTCTTGAAACGATGGGTAAGTGTGGTGGGAGAAATGGTAACGGAAGGTTTAACGGCGGTGGGTTTCACGGTCACGGTGGCGGAAGAGTTAGGCCTTACGTACGGTCTCCGGTTCCGCGACTTAGATGGACGCCGGATCTTCACCGTTGTTTCGTTCACGCCGTCGAGATTCTCGGTGGTCAACACCGTAAGTTTATTATATATATTTTTTTCTCTTCAAATCTTTTGTGTCTTTGTTTGATTCAAATATCTTAAAATTACGATTTTTATTTGGATATAACTAAAAAAGATTGAAAATTTCTCATTTGTTTTCGTAAAGAATCAGTTTTTGAACCAAGTCTTGATACTTTTGTTACTTTGTTTCATTCTTATCTTAAAGTTTGGGTTTTGCTTTGGATTATTGTAAAAAAGTTTGAGATTTCCTTATTGTTTTAAATTCATCATCTTTGTCAAGTTTCTGAGGCAAGCCTTCACGCTTTTGTTGTTTTGTTTCATTCATAAAGTTTGTTTTTTCTGAATATTTCTAAAATAATAATCTCATTGTGTTTTCATGAAAAGTAATCATAAAGAATCATCATAGGCACCTTTTTGATTTTGTTGTTGGTTGGGTTTGATGAAACAGGAGCAACACCAAAACTTGTTCTTAAGATGATGGATGTGAAGGGACTCACCATTTCACATGTCAAAAGCCATCTTCAGGTAATAATAAATTTACCAAAACACCAATCTTTTTTTTTTCCTTATTCATATTGTTTCATTCATATTACGTTGAATATTAAATCACTTTTGATTATATATAAACAGATGTATAGAGGATCAAAGCTCACTTTGGGGAAACCAGGTATTTTTTTTTCTTATAAAAAAAAAAATTGTGAAATCATGATATTTGGAAAAAGAATGGGACCGTTGATTTTAATTTGAACTGTTAACATCAAACACATAATAATGGATGGAATTTAATTATTTTACTGTATCTGTTTGTAGTATGTACTATTGGTCTAGTGTCATGATTCATAAGACAAATGTCATAAATACATATATTTTTTGCTTTTAAAAAAAATAAATGTCTACCTCTATTTTCAAGAGTAATAGAACAGAGAATAAGAGACTATTCATTATGAATCATATTAACTAATTTTATTTTTGGGGGACAGAAGAAAGCTCATCATCTTCAATAAGAAGAAGACAAGACAGTGAAGAAGATAATAATCTTCATGACAACTTGTCTTTACACACAAGGAATGATTGTCTTTTGGGTTTTCACTCTTTTCCTCTTTCTTCACATTCTTCATTTAGGTATATCTTTTTTATTTATTGTTTTCTGACAGTTTTTAATTTTTATTTCAGAAGAAAGTTATGCTTTTTGTTTGTCTGTTTTTGAATTGTCCTTTTACTTTGGTGCAGGGGAGGAGGAAGAAGAAAAGAGCATCAGCAGACTTCAGAGTCTGGTTATGATGATGATGATGACTTTCTTCACATCATGAACATGAAGAAGACGAAAGATACGACGACGTTTCTATCACATCATTTCCCCAAGGTATTTTTTTTTTTTAAACTGTATTTTATTTAAATATAACATACACATTTCATCATTTGGAAATTTAATGTTGCCAAACCAAATCAAGTCCGGTTTAGAGTTCTAACCGGTCTGATTGAGACTGGTCAAATCCAAAGGAATTGAGTCCGGTTTAAGTACTACTATTTGTCATTGAAACTTCTTAGTTTCACTTGAATTTATACAAGTGGCATTTAATGTAAACTAGTGTCAAACTTAAACCAAATTTAATCCGGTTTAGTGACTAATTTTGGTCTTTTTGGCTCATTAGGGAACAGAGGAGTGGCGGGAACAAGAGCACGAAGAAGAAGAAGAAGATTTGTCGTTGTGTCTGTCGTTAAATCATCATCATTGGAGAAGCAATGGATCATCGGTGAGCGAAACGAGTGAAGCAGCAGTCTCAACTTGTTCAGCACCATTCGTCTCCAAAGATTGCTTTGGTTCTTCAAAGATTGATCTTAATCTTAACCTCTCCATTTCTCTCCTCGGTAGCTAAATAAGTAAGCCAAATCTTTGTTCTTAGATTAGGTTCAGTGAAACAATATTCGGATGTATTTTGAAACTAGGATTTTATGTTTTCAGAGGATTGAAAGTTAGTAGAAATCTTGAAAATAAAGTTTAGATCAATATATATCAACTAGAAACTATATAAACAAAAAACGCAGCGTTTTGATCGACTCACAAACAGAGCCAAACGCAGCGTTTTGTTCTTTGAGGATAATTCCTTATATGCTGCGTTTTGTCTTTGGAGGATAATTCCTTAAACGCAGCGCTTCATTTTCAAGATCGTACGGTATACAATTGGGCCAGTCGGCAATCCTACTACGGTAGAGAAAATGATTTCGAAGGATTTCAAAACGCAGCGTTTTTATCATTCGAGGATAGATCCATTAAACGCTGCGTTTATATTCAAGATCCTACGGTAGAAAAGTTTTTCTTCTCGACAATCCTACGGTAGAGATAATTTCGAAGGATTTAATTAAAGCTATAACCGTTTCTCTTCGAAAGAAATAAAAAGAAAAAAAATTTGAAACTACTTTATAACCGCCTCGACGATGACCAACGTCTTCAACGTCGGCGAAGATGAATCTATCGAACCGTTTTGGCTCCAACTCCAAGACGGCGATACCCAACGATTCTTCCTCCGACGAGAATCGTTCTTCTTCCGCCGTCACCGCCGCAACTTCCGTCGTAATGCCGCCGTGCTCCAGCAATGTACTTGGAGCCAAACGCAGCGTTTTGTTCTTTGAGGATAATTCCTTATACGCAGCGTTTTATCTTTGGAGGATAATTCCTTAAACGCAGCGCTTCATTTTCAAGATCGTACGGTATACAATTGGGCCAGTCGGCAATCCTACGGTAGAGAAAATGATTTCGAAGGACTTCAAAACTCAGCGTTTTTCATCTTTCGAGGATAGATCCGTTAAACGCAGCGTTTTATTATTGGAGGATAAACGCTGCGTTTATATTCAAGATCCTACGGTAGAAAAGTTTTTCTTCTCGACAATCCTACGGTAGAGATAATTTCGAAGGATATATTATTTAAAACATTTAAATTAAAGCTGTAACCGCTTCTCTTCGAAAGAAATAAAAAGAAAATAAAATTTTTGAAAAAAAAATAATTTGAAACTACTTTATAACCGCCTCGACGATGACCAACGTCGTCAACATCGGCGAAGATGAATCTATCGAACCGTTTTGGCTCCAAGTCCAAGATGGCGATACCCAACCATTCTTCCTCCGACGAGAATTGTTCTTCCTCCGCCGCAACTTCCGTCGTAATGCCGCCGCGTTCCAGCAATGTACTCCGAGCTCTTCTTTTACTTTTCGTCATCGTCTTCTGCTTCTCCCTCTACAGAACTTCTGGTTATCTCAGAATCGTCGCTGACTCTTCCTCGACGCTCTCTCGCATTTTTCCCTCTTTCAATGATTCTTCCTCGTCTCCGTCTCCGTCTCCGTCTCCATCTCCGACTCTATCTCCGGTGAGTGTTCTTCCACATTGTTTCTTTATTTGGTGTTTATCATGAATCCGATGTTCGACTAAAGGAGTGTTCGATTTTAGGGATTTGAAATTGGAATCGATTTTGCGATGATTTCATTGAAAGATCGTGTTCTTCGTGTATTTCTTGCTATGAATTCATTTAAATAGCTCCACATTCGAAATCGTAGTCGCATTTGAGTTCGATTTCTGGATTTCGCAAGTTCTTCTTGATGTTACTGTGTTCAAGTTTTTCTTGATTTGGTTCTGTTTTGGTTTCTTAGGAAGAAATTGAGGAACCTAAGCTAGAAGAAGTTTTGCGTAGAGCTGCGACTAAAGATCGTACAGTGATTCTGACAACTTTGAATGAAGCTTGGGCAGCTCCAGGATCTGTGATTGATCTCTTCTTTGAGAGTTTTAGAATTGGTAAAAGAACAAGAAAGCTTTTGAAACACTTGGTGATCATTGCTTTGGATGCTAAAGCCTATTCACGTTGCAAAGAATTGCATAAGCATTGTTTCAGACTTGAAACAGAAGGTGTTGATTTCTCTGGCGGTGAAGCTTATTTCATGACTCCTTCTTACTTGAAAATGATGTGGAGAAGAATCGATTTCCTTCGCTCTGTTCTTGAAAAGGGTTACAACTTTGTTTTCACGGTAAAAAGTTTCTTTCACTCTTGGTGACTTAAAGAAACTTGTTAGTTGTTCTATTGAGTGATCCATTTTTGTTCTCTAGGATGCTGATGTGATGTGGTTCAGGAACCCTTTTTCGCGGTTTTACAAAGATGGCGATTTCCAGATTGCTTGTGACCATTACATAGGAAGGCCGAACGATTTTCGGAATAGACCAAATGGAGGATTTACCTTTGTGAGATCCAATAACCGAACTATAGGCTTTTACAAGTTCTGGTACGATTCAAGGCTCAAGTACCCCAAAAATCACGACCAGGATGTTCTAAATTTCATCAAGACAGATCCTTTCCTTTGGAAACTGAGGATTAGGATTAGGTTCTTGAACACAGTGTATTTCGGTGGATTCTGTGAACCAAGCAAAGATTTGAATCTTGTTTGTACAATGCACGCGAATTGCTGCTTTGGTTTGGATAGTAAGCTTCATGATCTAAGAATCATGCTTCAAGACTGGAGAGATTTCAAGTCTTTACCACATCATCGTAACCAATCCTCTGGTTTCACCTGGAACGTCCCACAGAATTGCAGGTTCTTTTTAGTTTAAATCTATCTTCGTTAGTCATTTTTTCGGTCTTTGAGATTGTTATACAGAGGATCAATGAAACGTTTTTGTTTTTGCAGTCTTGATTCACTTCGGCGGGTTGATTCTAAGGATAAAGAAGAGAGTGAATCACCAGGAGATTCTAAACAGTGAAGAGTGTGTGTTACAATGTATATAGAGAAACTGTTTTGAGATTTTTTTCACACGAAGAAATAGAAAGAAATATAGAAGAATATACTGTAAAATCATCAACCATTCTTAAAGAGAAATACATAACGCTAATGACGAATGACTTGTTCACTACTTCATTAGTTCATTGTCCCAAAATAGTTTATTTTCTCTAAATATTGACGTCGGAAATAGTTTAGTGAATTTCACAAAGAAGTTTTTTATTTCTTCTAAAAAGAAGATAGTAATCAACATCATGCAGTTTAAATGAAGCAACCAGCAAAACTGATGAAGAGAGCTAGAAAATGTAAGGTGGTCTTGTGGATAGTGGATAAACTGTAGAGATGGATTATTTATTTCACACTATCCTTTGACGTAGGCCTGGGCATTCGGGTACCCGTTCGGGTTCGGTTCTTTTTTTTCGGGTATCGGGTCTATTCGGGTAGGGGGTCAAGACCCATTCGGGTATTTTAAAAATTTGGTTCGGGTTCGGTTCGGGTTCGGGTCGGTTCGTGTATTTTAATAAAAAAAGCAAAATACCCGAAAATAACCAAAAATACCCGAAATATTTTCGGGTTCGGGTCGGGTTCGGGTTTTTAACTCATATATACCCAAATCTAACCGAAATACTCGATTTATCGAAAATACAATGGTTACTCTTTACCCAAATATAACCAAAAATATCTAAAATACCTAATATATTCGGATTTATGATTGTAATTTTAGGTATTTCGGGTATTATAAATATAAATATAACTAATATTTATAGGTGTATATTTGTATTCGGGTACATTCGGGTACATTCGGGTATTGGATTCGGTTCGGGTTCGGTTCGGGTTTTTTTCGGGTAGGAGGTTAGGACCCATTCGGGTATTTTTAAAAATCGGGTTCGGGTTCGGTTCGGGTATTGTTCGGGTTTTTCGGTTCGGGTATTCGGTTCCGGGTATTTTGCTCAGGCCTACTTTGACGGTCTAGCCTTTAGTGGGGTATGTCTTTGTCAATGTAGTAGTTTCAACTTATTGTCAATTAGAATTCATTTTTTTTTTTTGAATGTAATGTTAAATTATATTCAAAAGATAAAATAAACGTTTTTACAACTTGTGCAACGGTTTGCTAAAAAGGGAACAGCTGAGAAAAAAATTTAAACATTTAGACAGCCAAGAAACTTAGATACGAGCTTTGATCCATGTTTGGTATGCTGTCTCATATCGCATATCTCCTTTTATGCGAATCGCCGAAATCCGATTCCTTACTTGCTTATCAATCCAAGCTATTAGACAATATGCTGGTTGTGGACTCTCCCCGTGTCTTCTTCTATTCCGTTCTTGCCAAATCGTATAGACTACGACTTGCGTAACGTATCTTATAAGAAATCCATCCACTCTATCAAGCCGTTCATTTGAGATGTAATCGAGAATGAGGGGCCAGTTGATTGTGTACCTAGCTTTTAGAAGTCCTTTTGCAAGAGCTGCCCAGATTTGTGAGCCATATTGACATGAGAAGAAGAGGTGATCTCTGGTCTCCAACTGGTTTTGACAAAGTACGCAAGTTCCCGCTGCTCCTTGGTTCCATTTTATCATACGCTCACCCATCGAGAGTCTATTGTGGGCTGCTAACCACATGCAAAAAGAATATTTTGGTGTTGCGTATGCAAACCAAACTCCTCTATGCCATGAGATTGTGGTGGTCGTGGTTCGAATATGGTTCCATGTATCTTTCGTAGAAAACTTTGGCCCAAAAATATCATTCTTCCCCTTCCAAAGAAGTCTGTCTTCTCCATCATTTTTCCTTTGGTACGTTTGGTACAGTTCTTCCTCTATGGCATTTAAATGGTCCGTACGGTGCCTTCTTCTTCGCCGATTAGCCCACGCGTACGCCAAAGATCTCATCTTACTTATCCCCATGTCTATAAATCCACGGTTGCCCACACTGTCCACTAGGCTGCCCATTGATGACCAGTTATCATACCAAAAAGAAGTGTTTTCCCCATTGCCTACTTCAACTCTACAAAAAGGTTGTGCCATTGCTCTGTACTTGAGCAGTTTCTTCCATATCCATGAACCCGTTGTGTTACCATTATTTATAGACCAGAAAGAAGCCTTCTTAAGGAGGAAAGTTTGAATCCATTGTACCCAAAGAGAGTTGCTTTGGGAGCATATACGCCATATAAGTTTCAGACAACAAACCGTGTTTGCCTCTTTAAGCGACCGTAGGCCGAGTCCTCCTTCCTGTTTTGGTCTACAGACATTATCCCA